GATTCAAATTAATCATAATTACAGTATTATTATTATTATTATAGTCATTATTGATGATATAATTTATTATTAGAATTTTATTTATATAATATTTTTTATATTTATTATTTTTTTAAAAAAATAAATTATTTGTATTATTAAAATTCAAACTAAATTTATAATTATATTTAATTATTATTATATTTTTAGAAAAATTATCATTAATTCACACTATCGTAAATAATTGTTGTTTAAAGATTATTAATAGATTTTAAATATTATCTACTTATTATAATTAAATTATTAAAATTAAATAAATGGACATTTTTAACAACAACAAAATTATTTAATAAAAATTAATAATATTTATAAAAAAAATAAATATTTAATATTTACTATTGATTTTACATTGTCTTTTATAACTTAAAGTATAATCAATAAACTTATTTTATTATATATCTTAAAGTTTTTTTTTTAGATAAAATATAGAGTTTATTGAATTAAAAACACTAAATTAAATTAATTAAATTTGAAATTTTCATCATTAATAAATATTATCTAGGCTGTTTTTTTTTGATAAAATTTTGAAATATAATATTATTTAAATATTTTGTTTGTTTTAATATTATATTATAATTATTAGCTATTATATATATTTTATTATTTTACAATTATAAAAATTTATTATAATAAACATTTTTAATATAATTTTAAATAAAACTATTATTTTAGTTTTTAATTTTAATTTATAATTCAAACTACATTTTATTAGTGGAATATAATATGATATGAATAATAAATAACATCTATTAACTAATTAGTATATAAATGTTATGTATTTATAAATTTATATATAATATATACAGTATATAAATTACTTAATAGTATTGAACCCCCGATTTAATTATTTCTAGACATATCTATTGTAATTATTAGTTTTGTTATTATTATTGTTGTTGTTATTATTATTACTATTATATAAAAATTTATATACCGGTAGTACATTGTATTTTTTAATAATTATTCAAGGTAAGTGTCTAACTGCTATTGAAGTTTAACAATACTAATCAATTATATGACAAATAATAACGACTAAAAATAAATATATATATATATATATATATATAAAATAATCTAATTATTTTTTAATTATATAATAATACATATTATTTGTATTTATTTTTAAAATCAATTTTCGGTTTTTTTAAGAATGGTATATAAAGAGACAACTATTTGCTAAATAAAAAAAAATAATAACTTACTGTCTCTGATATAACAATCAGTAGCTCAGGTATGCCAATAATATTTAGTCAATTAATAAACTACTGTAACAAACAATTTTATTTAGTAAACAGTATATGTGTTTGTGTATTGAAAACTAAGTGAAAGTGTACTTTTAAAACAAAATCTAACTGTTTTTTATCTATCAATTTGTATTATCTATATATATATATATAATAGGATGAATATAATACGCTTCTCCGCTTTCTCGCTGGTCATACTGGTGGTCATCTATCTGACGACAAGTACAGTGGCCGGCGGCGACTACAAGTGTCCGCCACCGAAAGTTGTCTATAAAACTGAAAAAGTACCGGTGCCTATGCCCTATACGGTCATTGAAAAAGTACCCGTCTACAAGACAGTCAAAGTACCGATTAAAGTACCGGTCAAGGTTCCCGTCGAGGTACCCATTAAGGTACCGTATCCAGTACACATACCGGTGCCCGTTAAGGGTGGTGGCGGTGATGATGATGGTGGTTATGGCGGTGATGACCATGAAGGTGGTGGTGATGACGATGAAGGTGGCTATGGTCACGATGATAGTGATTGGTAAACAACAATAATTATAATAAAGCTAACGTTCCTCTCAATTTTTTTTTTGGATAACTGTGCACTGAGAGGGGATAACTATATATAACTCACTAAACTATATCAATCAGTCATTCATATATTGTAAATGATATATATTGGGATTAAAATTAAATATAATTACTGTATTATTATTAGAATTTTATTAATTATTTTTTATATTTATTTATTTTTTTTAAAATTATTAGTATTGTATAAATTTAAACTTAATTTATCATCAAGTTTAATTATTATTACATTTAAAAAATTAAAACTTTCATAAATAAATCACATTTTTGTTTTTATATTATTAATAGATTTTAAAGTATTTTTATTTATTATGATTATAATAATTATAATTATGTATCTTTACATTTTTTTTAACAACAACTACAAAATAATTTAATAATTAATTAAAATTAATGAATTAAAAATAAATTTTAAAAAATTACTGTTTATTAGTATCTAATTTATTTAATATTTACTATTGATTTTATCCTTGATTTTTATAACTTATTAAAGTATAATATTAATTAAAAAAAATATCTAATTAAATATCTAAAAATTTATTATTAATTAAAAATTCAACTATAAAACTTAGTAAATTTAACACTAAATTAAATTTAGTCATGCTTAAATTTTTTAATTATTTATATTAAATTATAATTTAAATAATATCTAGGCAATTTTATGATTAAATCTTGAAAAACAGTATAGTTTTGTTTCAAGTATTTCAATATAGTATTTATTTTTGTATATTTTATTTAATTTCATAATTATTGTATATATTTTTACTAACTGACTACACATATACTGTATAAAAATTTATTAATAATTAATATTAAAAAATAAATAAATTATTATTATTGTCATCAAATTTAATACTATTGTAAGCATTTTTTGATTATTTTTGATTATTGATTATATAATATAATATCTATAATATATAATCAATTAATATAAGTGTTTGAAATATATATATATCATATATAAATAAAAAATAAAAATAAAAAATTACATAATTGTATTGAACCTCCGATTTTAATTAATTCTAGACATATTAATTATTATTATAATTATTATTATTATTATTATTATATAGTTAATATACCGATAAATATATATATATCATATATATATATACAGTATTAGTATTCAAGGTAAGTGTCTCACTGTTTAACACACAAAAGTTAAACACTTACTAATTATTTGTGACAAATAATAATAATAATAATAACCAAAAATAACAAACAAAAAATAATTATTTTAGTTAATTATATAATAACAATAATAATCGGTTAGATTTTTTTTTGAAAAAATAAATCATTTTTCACTTTTTAAAAAGCAAAAAATAAAAGTATATATAAAGAGACAAATATTTGCCAAAAATCAAATCACAACCAAACAACTGGGTATTACAACAAACATCAGCTCAGGTATGCAGGTATCATACGGTTACATACCGTTACAACTACTGTAACAAACAATTTGTTTATTATATCTATATGTGTGTTCACTAAATAAAAACTAACCGTTTTTTTTTAATTATCACATGTATATATAGGATGACAACTATGATACGCTTCTCCGGTCTGGCACTGGTCATACTGATGGCCATCTATTTGACAACTAGTACAGTGGCCGGCGGCGACTACAAGTGTCCGCCACCGAAAATCATCTACAAAACTCAAAAGATTGAGGTACCGGTGCCCTATCCGGTAGTCAAAAAGGTCCCGGTCTACAAAACCATCAAGGTACCAGTTAAAGTACCAGTTGAAGTACCAGTTAAGGTACCAGTTAAAGTGCCAGTGCCCGTACACATACCGGTGCCAGTTATGAAAAAGGGAGGCGGCGGTGGTGGTGGTGGAGGCCATGGAGGTGGTGGCGGTGGTGGTGGCTATGGTCACGATGAGGGCGATTGGTAGACAACAATAATAATAATACTCAAAAGCTAACTTTCCTCTAAACTTTTAGGCTAACTGTGCGCTAACTAACTAACTAACTAATACATTCATTAAACATTCAAAAATAATGGGATTCAAATTAATCATAATAATAATAATTATTAATAATATATTAATATTATTATTATGTATTATTATTATTAACTTAAACATTATTATCATAATTATAATTATTATTTTTGGATATTTAATTTAAATTTGTTTCAATCATCATTTCAAAAATTAATTAAGGCATTTAATTGTATTTCTATTATATTTAAATTATTTATACATTTAAAAAAAATTATTTTTGTATTTGTATTATTTAAAACTATAACTAAAATGTAATTATAAATAGATTATAAAATTTTAAAAAATTTTAACACTTATTCATAATTGTAAATATAACTGCAGTTTGTTTTTTAAACAGATAATTTATAAATAATAAAAAAATTATTGACATTTTTATCTTAATAAAACATTTTCAAATTAAAATTCATATTTTACATATAAAGTGCTATTATTTTTTATATAATAAATAAAATTATATAAGTTTTAAATCAATTTTTTCTATTATATATTTTCAATCAAGTGTTTGTATTTTTTTTTGTAAAAAAATTATTTATTTTTATAATTACTAGTATTTTAATGTATTATTATTATTATTATTATTACTCGGCTTATTAAACATCTAGTAAATAGTAAAAATTATGCATATTTTTTTCAATGAGTTTAATTTTTTTTTTATAAAAAAAAATTATATAATTATATATCACTTTTTTTTACATAGTTTCATTATTATTAAAATTACAATATACTACAATAGTAATAATTAAAATCAATTATATTTATTGATAACAATAAATATATATAATATTAAATATTAAAATAATTATGACATTTAGCCTTAAATAATTTACTGTATTCATAACAATCATATTATTCAAATAAAAAAAAAATTAACAACAATTTTTTTAACAAAATAATTAACACACATATTAAACACATTTATCTTTATTTATTATTAATTAATATTTAATATTTTAAATATATAGTCATTTTATTAATCGATTTGAAACATTTATATTAATTATTATTATGTCAATTATGGTATATACAAATGTTAATAATATACTAAAACTATTGCTATTTATATTACTAGTATTATTATTATGGAACTGTAGTCAGATAAGTCCCGGTGCAACCAGTGTTTCCTATGGTCAGCCAGCTATGGTGCGACCATCACCATCACCAGCACCTGCTTGTAAGCCCCGGTACATTGAGATTGCATGTCCATCATCATCAGCAGCAGCACCGGTATATAATCAACAGCAGCAACCAATGATAATGACCGAACGGTACGATAGGTTGCCATCACCACAACCACCACCTAAATTAACATACAGAGCGCCTCCTATATACCAACCACCTCCACCAGCACCAGCAAAACAAGTATATCTGGTGCCACCACCTCCATCACCACCACCACCACCGCCAGCAAAACAAATATATCTGGTGCCACCATCTCCACCACCACCACCACCACCGCCAGCAAAACAAGTATATCTGGTGCCACCACCACCACCAACGCCACCAGCCAAACCAGTGTACATAGTACCAGCACCTGTACCGGCACCTGTACCAGTAATACGTGTGCTTAAACAACGTCAACTACTACCACCACCACAACCAGCAGCTTCTCCACCATTGATCAAACAGCAGGAAGTCATAGTCATCGATGATGAAGATCAGCATCAATCAAGTGATACCTATGAAGTCGTTAATGATGGTAATAAAGTACCGGAGCCTGAGCTACCAGAGCCGCCAGATGTTGTTGTTGATGGTGAGCATGGTGAGTTATCATGGTAATAAAAAACTCACTAAGTGGGGTGTATTTTTTTTTTATCACAAACGTATTTTTTATTAAAATGATATTTATTTATTATACATATACTGAATATTTATCAAAAAATAACTTAAATATAATGAATAAATTAATACTTATTTAACTTTTTTTTAAATTAAATTAAAATATTTAGTATTTTAGTTTAATTTTTTGTAATAATTATTAATAGTTAAACAAATTTATTGAATATTTTTAACAATTTATTTAAACAAATATTTTACTAAATATGCTTTTGAACTTTAATTATCACAAAAAAAAAATTTTACATTTTATTATTTAACTAATAATAAAACATTTTTTAATTAATAACAAACAAACTTAATTTTAACAATTAAAACAAAATTCAATTAATTAATAAAAAATTAAATCAGAGAATTCATTCAAATAAAAAAAATCAATAATAATCATCATTATCACCAAAAAAATCATCAAAATAAACGGTTATCCCTAAACCCTATTCCTTTAAAGAGGCCGGAAAACGGCTTTCTCTTTGTATATACCATCCAAAAACCTGGCACCGGTATGCAAATGGGCGTCGACTAGCTGTTCGGGCGTATGGGCCAACCAAGTAGCCAATGACATATCAGCGAAATAGGGAGTCGGGAATACTTCCAGAAAAGTTACGGTAGTATTACCGGTATTTTGGATATAGTGTCCCATAGCTCGGGGAACGTAACTAACGTCGCCCTCCTGGAAGTCCATAGTCCGGGCCTCGCCGTTGGCCGCAAACGTTGTAATACGGGCCTGACCTCTGACCAGATAACCCCATTCGTCGGCATTCGGGTGCCAATGCATTTCACGCATACCGCCCGGATTGATGGTCAATATGGCCGACGCCATAGTAGTCAGCGGGAAATTACGGCGATCGATAATCTTGACCGAACCACCCGTTCGGGTAACGTTAGGCTCAATTTTGGTCGTATCGAAAGTTATTGGAGGTGTTAGTCCCGTACCTTTGGCTACAGCGGCCAACTCCTTTTCCAACGGGCCGGGTAGTTGTGAGGGGAATATATATAGTTTCGATTTAGGCAAACGGGCAAACGTACGGCCAGTGGTGGCAAAATTCAAATCGGTAACCAAATGAGGTGTATGTATTAGATAATCGGTTAGCTGGAATTTATCGAAATCATTGAAATCACCTTTGTTGAAGGCTAGTATGAAAAAACACCCGTCCTTACCGATACCCTGTATCGAATGGGCCCAACCGCTCGGGAAAAACCATAGATCCGATTGTTTAATATCGGCTACACGTCCTTTGGCTTCGGGCGATACAATAGTCACCCGACATTGACCCTCAATAACGTAGGCCCATTCATCGGATGCGTGCCAATGCATTTCCCGGATACCGCCGGCAATCAATTTCATTTGGACACCGGCTATATTTTTGGCAATCGGCAAATCGTTGACGTTGACCTGACGGGCCCAGCCGGCCGAGTAGAGGGAACGGTGGGTGAAACTGAACGGGTATTTAAACGATTGTTGTTCACCATTGTCCGATGATGGCGGCCATACCGAATCGGGATTGGCCGAATCGAGTGCCTGATTATAGAATTGACTTGAATAGTCGTCACCAGTGGTCAGACCTACAATGGCCAGGTAGTAGATGATGGTCATCATCATCATCATCCGTAGTACTATTGATGATGGTTTCATATTATTATTATTATTATTTGTTGAGATATCTAAATCAGATTTATAATAATAATAATAATTTTAATTTCTAAACTGCTATATAAAACAATAATATTAAATAAAAAAATATCTAAAAATTAATTATTATTATTATTACAGCATGGACAGTTTTTTTGTGTATAGCAAATGTTTAGTATCAAACAATATATATATATATTTCAAAAATTATATTTAGTTTGCTAAAATCAACATGCAGAAATAAATAAAATAAAATAATAATTATTATTTTTATTAGTATAAAAATATTTTACCGTTTGTACCTTATTAGAAATAAAATAATTAATATTTAATTAAAATTAATAATTTAGCTTGTTGTTTTAATGATACTAGGTAGTTTATATATCATACTGTATATACAAATACTGTATATTTCAAGTTATGAAATTTTTTGTGATTTTTTTTTTGTTGAACTAATCATAATTTATTAGTATTATTTGTAAATGTTATTTAATAGAAATTATTTTTATTTAATCATCATTATGTGTTTAAAATCATTTTGTTTTGCAATTTCTAGTTAAACTGTACATAATGTGTGTGTGTGTGTGTGTGTGTGTGTGTGTTGTTTGTTGTGTGTGTGTGTGTGTGTGTGTGTGTGTGTGTGTGTGTGTGTGTGTGTGTGTGTGTGTTTGTTTGTTTAAGTAACGTTAGAAATAATACATATTATTAAATACTATTTTCACAAATAAATTTTCTAATTTTAATAAAATACTTATAATGTATTTAGTATGCTATGAGATATTTATTGTACTGTAATATTGATTAATACATAAATAAGTTATAATTAACTAATTACTACATTAAACAAAAAAAAATAATTAATAAATTAATACTAAATGTGCACTTAAATTTATAATAATAGTAATACTGTAATAAACTAATTGTATTTTTTTTGAAAATGATTATTGAATTGTATTTTTTAGATTTCATAAAAAATACTTAATCATAAAATAAATTTTCAAAAATTAAAAAAAAAATATTTGTGATGTAATTTAAGTTTAATATTGTGAATCACTTTTTAATAATATAAAAAGTTAGTTATCTAGAAATATAATATATTAAAATATTAATATTATCAATATTATCAATATATATATATTATTAATACAATTACTAGCAAAATATTATTATATTAGTTAAATATTTTTATATAAAAATAAAATACTAAACATATTTTTGCTAATATTTTTATTATTAATTGCTAGCAATACTAAAATATAATAATAATATTCATATAATAATAAATTATTGTAAATATTTTAAATATATGTCAAACATAGTATAGACATAATTTTTTAAAAAAAAAAATTGAATTATACGATTCAATTAAATAAAAACAATGTTAGTCATTAAAAAATATAATTAATAATACATAAAACATAATATTAATACCGGTATATTATATATAATATATTATATTATTGATATTTATAGTAAATAGACCTAAGATTTGTAGCGATTATATCTGCTACGGGTGTCACTAAACGGTACGCCCACTCACTAGTTTTGCGGTGGTTCGGTATACGTGTGCTTAAACAACATCAACTACCACCACCACCACCACCACCACTACCACCACCACCACCACCACCACCACCAGCAGCAGCAGCTTCTCCACCATTGATCAAACAGCAGGAGTTCATAGTGATCGATGATGATGTAGATCAGCACCAATCAAGTGATACCTATGAAGTCCCTTATGATGGGAATAAAGTACCGGAGCCTGAGAGCTACCAGAGCCAGATGTTGTTGTTTTACGGTGAGCATGGTAAGTTATCATGGTAATAAATTGGGTGGGGTGGGGTTAACACAAACGTAATTTTTTTTATTAAAATGATATTTATTTATTTGAAATATTTTTTTATTGTTGATAAGTATTTCAATCGACGTTAATAATTATATGATAAATCAATTTTTATTTGTAATTTGTTTTATTTTAGATATTTGCATGAGCAAGTAGATTTTAAAAAAAAAATTATATTTAATTAATTTACATATAGAATATTTATCAAAAAAATAAATAAATAATAATAAAATAAAATATTCTTAAATATTTTGAATAAATTAATAATTATTTAATTTTTTTTAAATAAAATAAAAATATTTAGTATGTTTTTTCTTTGTATATTTCTATTGTAATAATTAGTTTATATAACAAATTTATTTAATATTTTTAACAATTTTTTTTAAACAAATATTTTACTAAATATTTACTTTAATTATCACAAAAGAAAAACTTTTTAAATTTTATTATTTAACTAAATAACTAATAATAAAACATTTTTGATTAATAACAACAACAAAAAAACAAAAAAAAAATAATTTTAAAAAATCTAAATTCAAAGATTTAATAATTAATTTAATTAATTAAAAAAAATTCAAATAAAAATCAATAATAATCATTATTATCACAAAAAATCATCAAAATAAACGGTTATCCCTAAAACCCCATGCCTTCCCCCCCCCTTACACTTACACAGTGACACTTTAAAGGGGACGGAAAACGGCTTTCTCTTTGTATATACCATCCAAAAACTTGGCACCGGTATGTAAATGGGCGTCTACTAGCTGTTCGGGCGTATGGGCCAACCAGGTAGCCAATGACATATCAGCGAAATAGGGTGTCGGGAATACTTCCAGAAAAGTTACGGTAGTATTACCGGTATTTTGGATATAATGTCCCATAGCTCGGGGAACGTAACTAACGTCGCCCTCCTGGAAGTCCATAGTCCGGGCCTCGCCGTTGGCCGCAAACGTTGTAATACGGGCCTGACCTCTGACCAGATAACCCCATTCGTCGGCATTCGGGTGCCAATGCATTTCACGCATACCGCCCGGATTGATGGTCAATATGGCCGACGCTATTGTGGTCAGCGGAAAATTACGGCGATCGATAATCTTGACCGAACCACCCGTACGGGTAACGTTCGGCTCGATTTTGGTCGAATCGAAAGTTATCGGCGGTGTTAGTCCCGTACCTTTGGCTACAGCGGCCAACTCCTTGTCCAACGGGCCGGGCAGTTGTGACGGGAATATATAGAGTGTCGATTTAGGCGATCGGGCAAACGTACGGCCAGTGGTGGCAAAATTCAAATCGGTAACCAAATGCGGTGTATGTATGAGATAATCGGTTAGCAGGAATGTACCGAAATCATTGAAATCACCTTGGTTGAAGGTTAGTATGAAAAAACAACCGTCCTTACCGATACCCTGTATCGAATGGGCCCAACCGCTCGGGAAAAACCATAGATCCGATTGTTTAATATCGGCTACATGTCCTTTGGCTTCGGGCGATACAATAGTCACCCGACAGTGACCCTCGATAACGTAGGCCCACTCGTCCGATACGTGCCAATGCATTTCTCGGATACCGCCGGCAATCAATTTCATTTGGACACCGGCCATATTTTTGGCAATCGGCAAATCGTTGACGTTGACCTGACGAGCCCAGCCGGCCGAGTAGAGGGAACGGTGGGCGAAACTGAACGGGTATTTGAAAGATTGTTGTTCACCGTTGTCCGATGATGGCGGCCATACCGAATCGGGATTGGCCGAATCGAGTGCCTGATTATAGAATTGACTTGAATAGTCGTCACCAGTGGTCAGACCTACAATGGCCAGGTAATAGATGATGGTCACCATCATCATCGGTAGTACCATTGATGATGGTTTCATATTATTATTATTATTATTTGTTGAGATATCTAAATCAGATTTATAATCAAATAATAATAATTTATAAACTGCTATATAAAACAATAATATTAAATTTTAAAAAATTAATTATTATTATTATTGCAGCATGTACAGTTTATTTTGTGTATAGTAAATGTTTAGTATTAACAGTATATATATTTTTTCATAAATTATATTAAGTTTTGCTAAAAACAACATGCTGAAATAAATATAATAATAATTATTATTATTATTAGTATAAAAATGTTTTACCGTATGTACCTTATTAAAAAAATAAAATAAAAATATTAATATTTAATTTAATACTAGGTAGTTTATATATACAATTATATTTCAAGTTATGAAAATTTTTGTGATTTTTTGTTGTTGTTGAGCTAATGTTAAATCATCACATTTTATTAGTATTATTTGTAAATGTTATTTAATGGAAAATTTTTATTAATTATCATCATTATGTGTTTAAAAAGTTTTGTTTTGCTATTTCAAGTTAAACTGTAATTATTGTGTGTGTGTGTTTGTGTGTGTGTGTGTGTGTGTGTGTGTGTGTGTGTGTGTGTGTGTGTGTGTGTGTGTGTGTGTGTGTGTGTGTGTGTGTGTTTAAATAACGCTAGAAATAATATGTAATATTAAATACTATTTTCACAAATAAATTTTCTAATTTTCATAAAAATACTTATAATGTATTTAGTATGCTATGAGATATTTATTGTACTGTAATATTGATTAATACATAAATAAGTATATAATTAACTAATTACTACATTAGCCACAAAAAAATAATAATTAATTAATTAATACTAAAAGTGCACTTAATTTATAACAAAAATAATACTGTAATAATAGTATAGTAATAATAATCTAATTGTATAAATATTATTTTTTTTTGAAAATGATTATTGAATTGTATTTTTTAAATTTCATATAAAATACTTAATCATAATATAAATTTTCAAATTTTGTTTTTTTAAAAAAAATATATTTGTAATGTAATTTAAGTTTAATATTGTGAATCACTTTTTAATAATATAATGTTTTAATAATTTAATTTTATATTGTAAAAAATAAATTAAAAAATTATAATTAATTTTATAAATAAATAAATCTAATTAATTTAAAAAACAATTAGTATATAATTTAAATATTTTTATTTAATAAAAAGTTAGTTATCTAGAAATATAATATATTAAAATATCAATATTACAATTACTAGCAAAATATTATTATATTAGTTAAATAATTTTATATAAAAATAAAATACTGAACATATTTTTGCTAATAATTTTATTATTATTGCTAGTAATAATAATATTCATATAATAATAAATTATTTTAAATATTTTAAATATATGTCAGACAGTATAGACATAGTTTTTTTTATTGAAAAAAAATTGAATTATACGATTCAATTAAATAAAAACAATGTTAGTCATTAAAAAATAATTAATATTAATAATACATAATATTAATACCGGTATATTGTATAATATATTATTTTATATTGATATTTATAGTAAATAGACCTGAAAATTATGGTTATGTTTTTTGGTAGACAATAAACAATCAAAAATAAAATAGTAATAATAATAACATAATTATAATAATATAATTATAATAATTTATATATATATATATATATATACTGTACATAAAAATGCATTTTTATTTAATAATTATTCAATAATGCTTATAAAATTTAAAAAAAAACAAAATTATTAAAAAATTAAATAAAAATAGATATAACAGTATTTAATAACAAAAATTGTTAGTAAATAAATACATTTAAAAAAAATCATTAGCATTATATGAAGCAAAAAAAAAATTAATAAAATAATTTATCAACAAAAATACAACAATTAAAATGTTAAGATTATTATTATTATTATTATTACACAAAAATTGAATTAATTTTTGTCAATCATATCATACAGTAGTAGTAGTATAACAAGTATATCATAATAATGTACAAAACTAGCCATACATTTGGCAATAATTTATTAATAATAATATTATTAGTAGTAATAACTAATACTATTGACTACATTGATGGTGGGGACGGCCATAAAAAATTTATCTATATCAAAGAGGAGGCACCGTGTGTACCGAAAATAATAGTCGTACCCCAGATCAAGTACATACGGGTGCCGGGACCCAAACAGGAGGAAAAAATTATTATGATGAAAGCACCGGCACCTAAACAAAAAGTGATTGTCGTTAAACAACCGGCTCCGGCACCGCCACCGGCTAAGACTATTGTCGTCAAACAAGCGCCGCCACCACCGCCGCCAGGCAAAGTGATTGTGGTCAGACAAAAAGTACCGGTCGCTGTCCACATACCGATGCCCACACAAAAACCTGAGGTTATCATATTGACGGCCAAACAGGAGGAGGAGGCGCCCAAACAGTATTCAGATTGGAGATAAAGTTTTGTATTAATGTATTAGTGTGTGTGTATGTGTGTGTCTGTCTGTTTGAGTGTGTGTGTGTGTGTGTCTGTCTTTGTGTATGTGTGTGTGTATGTGTGTGAGTGTATGTGTCTGTCTGTGTGTGTGTATGTGTATGTGTGTGTGTGTGTGTGTGTGTGTGTGTATGTGTGTGTGTGTGTGTGTGTGTGTGTGTGTGTGTGTGTGTGTGTGTGTGTGTGTGTGTGTGTGTGTGTGTGTGTGTGAGTGAGTGAGTGAGTGAGTGAGTGAGTGAGTGAGTGAGAGAGAGAGAGAGAGAGAGTTATGTAAAATAGAAAGTTATATTAATATTATTGATATATTAGTATTTTAATATAAATAGTTATATTAAAATACTAATACACATATATCATTAATATTTTTTTAGTATACTAAAATAAAATAAAATTAAGTTCGTTAATAAATATAACTTTATTGTTGTAATAATGTATTATAAAAATACTGTAAATACTGTTTTTTAAAATTTTTGTATTGGTGTTGTAAAACCCCATTAGTTCATAATACTATTGTATTGTATGATATTATAATTTAGCTATCAATTAATTTTTTACAATTAAAGATATACTAAATAATATATTTTTTTTGTTTTATCATTATTAAAATATTTAATTTATAAATTATTTTAATATTTTTATTTTTTAAACTGTAACATTTTAATTGATAATAATAAATGATAAATATATATAAATTTTAATAATGTAAAATTTACTTGCTATTATACTCAAATTTATATTATAATCTAATTATTATATATAAATATTTTAACATTAAAACATTAACTAATTTTATAACTTAAATATTATATATAACAGTATATATTATAAAATATTATTAAAATATATTTAATGACTTAATTTATTTTTTTTTTAAATACTTTACAATTTTACAATAGATTTTTATTTAGATTTTTAACCAAAAAAATGTATTTAGTAATAATAATAATAATATTAACAATACTAAAATAGTTAGACAAATTAATTAAAGTTTTATTATATATATAACATAATTAATATACTAATATATAGTACTAATAAATACATAATATAGTGTATATAAAAAAATGTTTTGTTATAAAAAGTTTTTTGTTGTTGTTTTTTTTATAAAAAAAAAGTTTTAATTTAATTTAATGCATAATTAAAATGCTAACTGTGCCATCAACTATGTATATTACACACACATAGACACTATTCAAACCTACAGTTCCCTAAACTATATGGTAGACACACACACACATGAATTGATAGTCAATTATTTTGTTGTTTAAAAAATGATATCATGACTACCACTAGTACTACTATCAAAATCAGTGGCACTGGTCTACTGGCACTAGTATTAATACTGTCTATTACATTGGTATGCAATCATTATCACCAACAATGGACAGACACCACACCATTACTATATCGACAACAATCAGCACCTGTAGCTGTCATCGGACAGCATAATAATAACAACAATCACAGAATATATAGGCGATCGTTTGGTTTATTCAAAAAGGGTGTCAAAAAAGAAGTCATTTACATACCGGTGCCCATCAAAGTCAAGTCCAAAAAATCACCACCACCACCTAAAAAGTCGCCGCCGCCTAAACCTCAAGTTATAGTAGTCAAGGCACCGGCACCATCGAAAAAATCGTGTCCACCCCAGATCGTAACCGTTCCCAAATACGAGTACATAACAGTACCCCAGAAGGCACCGCCTCCCAAAGTGATTATGATGCCGGCGCCGCCCGTACCGCCCAAAGTGATACTCATGAAATCGCCACCCGGTCCCCCATTACCGCCCAAAGTGATTGTGATGAAAGGTCAGCCGCTTAAGGCGCCGCCACCGCGTGTTGTTATCCAGAAAATACCTTACCCGGTACCGGTGCCCACACCCGACCATAATGGCTGGTAGGGTTTTAGAGTGAGTGAGTGAGTGGGTGGGTGAGAGAGAGAAAGAGAGAGAGAGAGAGAGAGAGTGAGTGAGTGAGTGAGTGGGTGATAGAGTGAGTGAGAGAGAGAGAGAGAGAGAGTGAGTGAGTGAGTGAGTGAGTGAGTGAGAGAGAGAGAGTAAGAGAGAGAGTGTGTGTGTGAGAGAGAGAGAGTGAGTGAGTGAGTGAGAGATAGAGAGAGTGAGAATTATGTTATTTATGTGTATTTATTTGTATTTTTTTAAATCTAGTAAAATATTTTTTGAAATAATCAGTAAATTTTTACATTTATTAATATTAGTCATATAATTATTATTTGATGTTTTTATTTTGTATTTGTAAAAACATAATTTTTTATTTTTATTAAATTATAAATTGTATTTCAATAATATATATATATAGTAATATTATATAAATTATATAGAGACTGCTTATTTAAATTATTTAATTTAATTTCTAATTTATAATAATCAAAATATTTTTAGAAACAAATTATCAGATTTTTTTTTATAATTAAGTTAATTTTTAAAAACATTTACTTAAAATCTATTTAATTATAACGATGTTTAAACATAAATGTTTTTGAATTAATTAATATTAAATGTTAATTAAATGTCAAAATATTGGTCAAAAATTATTATAATTAAAAATTACTATGGGTTTAGAAAATTAATAAACTATTAATAAATATTTTTAAATAAAATTTCTAACTGTGTGTATATATCGTACTAAATATTAGTCTACATTTACACAATGACTATAAAAATAAAATTGTCATTTATTATTATTATTATTATTATTAGTTAGCAAATAAAATTTTTGTTATCAATTTTTTTATATATGATTTCATGTTATCATTAATTTTTATCAACCTTTATATACTGAATATTTATTATTTACATTATTTGTATTATTATTATTATTATTATTATTTGTTTAATATAACATTGAAAAAATATTGTATTATTAATTTACTTAAATATTATAATTAATTATTTTGTATGTTAACAAAAAATAATCTGTGTAAATTTTATGAAACAACTATGAAATATTATGTTTAATTCAAATATTTTTTTTAAATTAAAAATAACATTCAAATATAATATTAAAGTTTATATCATAAAATGTTATAATTTTATTATTATTAATAATAATTTGTACAAAAAAAAACAGTGCAATGTTTGAAATACAACTATAATTATGTATATAAAAAAAATTGTTTATAGCATATGTTCAATGCTATTATTAATTATTATTAATATATATATATGATTAATATTTATTAATAATAATAATAATAATAAAAAGTACAGTGTTATACAATTGCAATTGAATATATCCTATTGAAAACCCATTGACTATTATTGTTATAAATTTATATACATGTATACAGTATATGATAAATGTTTTTTTCATAATAAAATTGAAACATTTATTTAATATTTATTATTATTAATAATAATAATAGAGTTATACTAATAATAATTATTATTATCTACTGTATATTGTATTTGTAATAACAAAAACATATTAAAACTATTAATATTATTTAATACATTACTAATAATTCACAATAAAAATACACGTTTGCATTACATTTGATTTTTTGTTGTTGAAATATATATATATTTATATTTATTGTAATATATCTATTAGTATTATTATTAGTATTATTATTTTAATTATAATTTTGTTTCAATATTAAATAAAATTTATAAACTAAAACAGTTTTCATTTAATTTTTTTTACTATCATTTATTGTTTTTATAATTATTTTATCGATATTTTTTATTGTCAATATATATATATCTTTTATACTGTATAATAGTTTATCACATAATAATAATTATAACTTTAATTAATTAATAATAATTGTGTGATTAATATATATATATATATATATATATATATATATATATGAAATTACTTTTAAATCTAAAGACTAATATAATAATATGTGTTATCAGTAAAAATAATAATAATAATAATTAGGGGGTAAAAAAGTGATAAAACAATAAAATAAAAAAATGTTTAGTTATTTAGCGGCAATAATCATAATACTAGTCATCAATATTATTATTAACGACCAAAATCTAGTCAACTGTGTGGCCAACTGTCCGCCGCCGCAAATAGTCTATCCGTGCGAATGTAGTAACAATCTTATCTATTGTGGCCATCGGGAAACACGGGATCTGTCCAACATATTTGCTGCCATTAGCCGATATCTGGCCAACGATAGCAAAGAGTATCTTGTATTGGATCTCACGGGTATAGGTGTCCGACAACTGGAGGCCAATGTATTTCATGGCCTACAATTCAAACGTATCTATTTGCGTGACCTTCACGAGCTCCGGCATATCGATGCCCAGGCCTTCAACGGTACTCAAGAATATACCGAAGAGCTGACCATTGAGGGCCAGAATCGGTTGCTAAACGACCAGACGTTTGCATCCGCATCGTCATCATCGACGACGGCCGCTACTGCCATCCGATCGCTGGTCAACTTGCAGTTACTTTATATGGACAACCGCGAGATGACTGTCTGGCCGAACCGTGCACTCGGCAATCTCCGACATCTCCGTGACTTGGATCTCAATTTTAATCGCCGTCCATCTACTAGTGGCGGTCCATTGAAACGTGTCGATAGTTTTGCATTTTACGAGCAAAACCTGTTGGAAGACATCGACATTACCGGTCAGTCCGTAGAGTTTGTCGGCAAAAATGCGTTTACTTTTTCCGAGACTGCCGTCGGCGGCGACGGCGGCGGCGGCAGCGCTAAACTGTTGCGCATATTTCTCGACGACAACCATCTGGACAGTACGGGTCTCGAGCGGGGATTGTTTGCCGAAACTAATCGACCGGTTGAGCTGTTTGTACGGCGAAATCGGTTCCAAACAATTGATGAGCCGACATTTGGACCGTTTTTTGCGGCCAATCCACGCAATAAACTGGACATTGGCCAGAATCCACTGGTACTCGACTGTCGTATGGCATGGCTTACCAATACAAGTAAGATTGATATCTATGGCCAGATATTGGGCGGCGAAACGGCCAACGATGGACGTCATATAATGTTTTTGGACAGTCAAGAGTTTGCTGGATGTTAGCCCCCCACCCCCGACTACCGACCGCCACCCACCCTCCCGATGCACCCGTTATAGGGATGTATTTTTAATATACTGGTGCTTAATTAGTACAATACTATACAGTGATATATTTGTCATTAATGTTTTTTTTTTTAAACGTAAGTGTCATGTATTGTGTAAATACAGGTATTTAATAATATCGGGTATTAATTATTATATGATAGTTAATACCAGTGCTTATTAATGTATGTGATATATAAAACTAATGTATTATTTTATTTTATTTTTTATAATTTGGATTTTTTTTTAATATATAAGTGTATATTTTATCAATATATATATATTAAAAAGTCATATTATTTTTTGTTGTCGTTTTAGATATTGTTGTTTTTTCAGTTGTTTTTTTCTTAATTAATATTTTGATAACTGTTTTATTGTAAAAAATATGAATTATCAGTATTTTTTATAAAATAATTAATTACCAAATGGTTTTAATTAATCTATTAATTTGTACTCAATATTTAAAAAAATAAATACTTTATTAATTGATTTTTTTTTAAAATTATTGTAAATAATTTTTGTGATATATTGTATAGTTATTATAGTTTTCATATTATAAATGTGTTTTAATTTTATTATTTACAGTAAATAAAATTGTAAATAAAATAAATTATTTATTTTTCATTTAATTATAACTTTTATTTATACATTTTGAAAAAATATATTTTTAAAATAATAATTACATTAACAAAATAAACAAACAGATAAATTTTATTTTAAATAAATTTAGTGCAATATTTATTTTTAGTTAAAAAATTTTTATTTAATTATTTTTTTTTTGAGGGGACAGTTATGTTTGGATTTTTTTTAGTGATCCTTATGACACTCATTGGCGCCAATATTATAATAGTCTTTAATTTTCGAGTCAATAGCCAATCTAACTGTGCACGAGTAGAATACCTATGGGTACATATGTGTGGTATAGGTATAGTAGCACCCACCCAAAAAAAACATACATGAGCAACCAAAAAATAAAATAAAAAATATTTAGCATGCTTATTTTTTTAAAACTAAAAAAAACTACTTACGTTTTTCTGGTTAAGCACATGTAGATAGGCAGTGAACAGTCCTTTTTCGCCCATAACATCAATAACCGACTTATAGGTCATGACCTGGTCGTGGGTTTTTTGTTCAATATTTACCGCTTCCATCATACGTTTGATCAATGCCTGTCCCCATTCGGTTTGGTCATCAATAATTAGGACATCCTGGGCCATGGAGCACCCGACTACCAACATAATCAATACTAATTTGAACATGGTAGATTTGTTGGTGTTGTTGTTGTTGTTGGGAAAGTTATATTTAGTAAAAAGCACCGGTATGTTGTATTTTTGTTTTTATTGAGACAAACTGAGAAATCTATTAGCAATGGTCTAGTATTTATATAGACGATTATTTTATATGTTTTATTTAATTTATTTAATGATATTATGTTTTATATTAAATAAATATTTCAAAAATAAAAATGTTTTTTAATAATTAATAGTAGATAAAAAAAATTGATAAAAAAATTTCTATCGAAATTCCCGGGAAATTAATAAGTTAATGATTTATTTTTATTTTGACAAAATAGAAATTAAAGTAATTAAAAGTTTTTTTTTTATTATTTTTGTTTATTTTTTATATAATCAAGTTATTAATATATTATTTTTTAATTAATACAATTTATTAATACAATTTAATTTTATATATAAATATATTGTTTATAAAATAATTAAATTAAATATATTTTTAGTTTAAAAATTAATATGCTAGATTAATAATAATAATAATAAGTGGGAATATTACTAAAAAACATGGAAAATATTTAATAGTAATTGGATTCCCTATTGAGCTTTAATGACAACATAACTAATGTATTTAATATATATATATATCAATAAATGATAAGTTAAATACATTTATCTATATATATAAAAAAATATTGATTGATTGACATTGAAATTTATAGTTTAATCCAATATGATATGAGAGAAAATAAATATATATATATAAATAAAATAAATGTCAAGTGATGTCAATTTAGTTTAGAAATAGTAATATATATATATATATATATATTATTATATTATATTTTATTATATTTTATTATATATATATATATATATTAGTGTCAATGTATATGTTTGTAATGAGATAATATTGTTTGACAATTCAATATCCGTGTATATAACTACAAGTTTAAAAAATTAAATTTAATAAAAATAATAAAGTTATTAAAGATAAACTAAGCTAGTTCATTGGAAAAATTTGTTTGACTTTTATCTATATATATTTTATTAATTATATATATATATTAATATATATTATTAATTTATATTAATTGAATTAATATTAATCTGACATATGTATAGATAATAATTATTATTTTTTATTTATCAAAAATAGTGCCAATTTTTAACAATTAAACAGAAAACAATTTACTATTAATAATTTTATTTTTAGTAATAAATTATTTAGTATTTATTTTATTATAAGTTAAAATTTATAGTATATATATATATATATATATATATATATATATATATATATATATATATATATATATATATACAGTATTTATCATATATTATACATATAATCTATTAATACATTGTTTTTATAAAAAAAAATTTTAGCAATAAAAATATTATTTAATCATATTATTAACTTAAATACTAGAATTAAATTACTATTGTATTTATTAAATTATTAAATAAAAAAAAATATTTTAGTTTTAATAAAAAATTATTGTTTTTTCATCCGGGTTTATTAGCTAATAGATAAAAGTTAATACCTAATTAAATTTAACTAAAAAATAAAATAATTTTAAATATTTATTTGATTTTTATAAAAAATAGTTCTATAAATATTGTATTAAAAATAACAATTAATAAATTAACAATAAATAATAAATAATAATATATTAATTCAATTTTTTTTTAATTTATAATTATAACAAAATTATTATTATTTACATAATTATAATAATAATATTACGTACAAAAATAATTATATCCTAGAAAAATATTAGTCAAATTTAAATAAATATTTATTAGTTTTTTATTTTAAAATATTTAATTTACAGTTTTTATTAATTAAATAATATATATTTAAAAAAAATAAAACAACAACAAAATAAAAAAAACTTAAATACAAAATAAATATATTTTGATTAAATTAATTACTTAATTAACATAACAAACTAAAATTTAAAAAAATATTTGTTTATTTAAGAAAAAAAAATCATTATTTTAAATAAAAATAAATAAAATATTTACAAAAATAATAATAAAAATAAAAATAATATCACCATGATGCTTCATCAGTATGTCCATTATCTGGTGACTGTGCTAGCTCAATTATTTCGGCCTCTTGTATATCGCCTTTATTAGAATCACCATGGTCCATTTTTGCCGGTTCGGCCATCTCCACGTGCTGGACATCCTGGTGCTCATCATGATCATCATCAGCTTTTACCCAGGTACATAATTTTTTCTTTTTCGGTTTAGGTTTAGGTAACTTTATTATGGGCACCGGTACGAAAACAAACTCTTTTTTCTTGAACAATGACTTAAACTTTTCAATTAGATGCTCACTGGCCTCCAGGTGCCCGATTAGATGTTCATAATATATTAGTATAATAATAACAATTAGTACAGTATAGGATAAGCTGTTCATATTATTTATTTATTTATTTATCTATTTTTCAAACAACAACAAAAATAAACTGTTTAATCAATATATTAGTTGTAAAATATCAGATATCAGTAGTGATATTAATAATAATAGGAAATCAAAAAAAATAAATTTTCTTGAATTGATTTATTAATTAATGAATATTTAATTTTTCAAATAATTTTTCAAATAAATTTTTCTGGTTAAATATAAAATTAATTGATTTAATGATTTTAATTAGAGTCTATAATATATATATATATATATCTAGTTTATGGCCAATTAATGTTTATTGAAATTAATACTTTCAATTTATTACAAAAAATTATTATTATTATAATTATATTAAATTATTCAAAAAAAATTATTGTGTTATTATTAAGGTGACAATTTAATTCAATATAACTTAACTAATAAAAATATTAGTAACATTTAAAAGATATTGTTATAATAATAATAATAATTATTATTATTATTATTATATATCTATCATACTTTATAATTAATACAACAACAAAAATCCTATGCTCTGAATATATGTTAATTTTGGTTTAATGTTTTTTTTTGTAAAATTGTATAGAAATTTAATATTCAGAAAAATTACTTATATTTTTTTCACAACAACAAAATAATTGAAGCCATAATCTACTAATTTTTTTATTAGTAAAATCTAATTAATATATTATTTAAATTATTATTATTATTATGTGATATTTTTGTTGTCACGCAAACATATCATAACTACTTAATTTTTATTTAGTAATAATTATTAATATTTAATATATATATATATATGTATTATATATATGTATACTGTATATTGTAAACTATCTCAATAATTGATATACGGTTTAAACACTATAATATAAAATATACAGTAAAATTAGTTTATGAATTACTATGAATTACCATTAATGTTAGGATTTAGATGTATTATTAATAATTTTTAATACTTATTATTAGTAAAAAAAATGTATTAGTAATAATAAATTAAAACATTTTTATCACATTTAATAGGAATACTAAATATAAAATACTTGAAAAATATATATTGATATATTTTATATAATATTTAATATATATATATATATAGAGTATATTATTAAATTATTTTTGGACATACATGACTTAACAACTAATTGAATAATCTAAATGATACGACAATAATAATAATAATAATAACAATAATTTGTGATTTGTTATTATTTGTAACAGCAATTATAATGTCATCAAAACAATAATAGTTTTTTTTTGTTAGAAAAAACATAATAATAATACTTTTTAAAATTAATTTTTTTTTAGTAATATTAATATTTTAAATAATGAAAAAAATTTTGTTTCATCAATATTAATAACTCATAGTTTTTTTTAGTTAGTCAGTAATATAACTTATAAAAATATATCAAAAAATGTTATTATTTTAAAAGTCATAAAAATAAAATATGTTAAATTTTAATTGTTTGAGCAATCATAATCGAAAAATGTTTATTAAAACTTTTATTTAAAAAATAAATAAATGTATAATATTTTATTAATATTAGTGAGACATATATAATATGTCGATAAATAAGAAATATTGTAATAAACAACAAAAAATTGTGTCAAAATTTTTTAAACATCGACAACAAAAACTGTTAGCAATACTACCAGTGATAGTGTTGGTGGCGGTGGTTGTGGTGGTGGCCATCCTATTGTTAACACCGTATACAACCAATGTTGTCGATGCCAAGTCCAGCGGCAATAACAATGGCTATGTGTCGATGCGTTTTACACCGTACGACAAGTTTGGCCAATCAGTAGGTATTGGCGGCTACATTGACGGCAGTCCCCGACGGCCACTACAATCGTCGTCGTCGTCGGGATCTTCACGACCAAAGCAGCGTAGGAGACGACGACGACACCGCCGCCGCCGTCGCAAACGGTATCGACCACATCGGCCACCACATAGAAAATATAGTGAAACATATAATAGTGTCGCCGATGATGATGAGGAACCGGATGATGATTACGATACGGGAGGTAGTGGTAGTGGTGGCGGTGATAGTGGCGACGGTCGGTGCGATTGTCAGACAAAGTATGTGGCAATAGAAGTGCCGCCGAAAAATAGTGGCCATAGAGGCGGCGGCGGTGGCGGTAGATATAGAAGTGACGGCAACGGCGACTATGTGGCCGTTCCTGTAGAGTCGGTCAGTCTTAATACAGGTACAGGTGCTGGTGCTGGTGGTGGTGCTGATAGTGGTAATAGTGAGGAACAGGAGTGAAATGGATAACTGTATGGACACAAAAAAAACTGTTTGTTTTTTTTTGTTTATTTGAATTAATATTTTATTAATTATTATTTTTTTTGTTAATCAATATCTGAGTGTATTTTATATTTTAACTTATAAAATTTTATTTTTTTTAAATATGATTAAAAATTAATTAAAATAATTATATTTTATTGTACAAATTTATATATATATATATATATATATATATATATGTATTTAGAATTATATATAGTTTAGAAAAATTAAATTATACTATTATATTAATTATAATTTATACTGTAGATTGTAATAATTTTTGAAATTATTACCAAAATAATAATAATAATAATAAAATTATTAAAATCGAAAATTATTTAGATTTTAAAAAAAAATAATAACAAATATTTTTTTTATAGAATTTTATATTAGATATAACATGTAATTATAATATTTATAAAAAAAATGCTATGTTTTATAAATAAAATAATAATTAGTTTCAATTAATTAATTAATTTTAATTATATATTGTATATGATTATTTAATTTATTTAACAGTCAACAAACTTTTAATATCATTGATATAATTATTATAATTATTATCATCAGTATTAGTATTATCATTGCTTATAATAAAATTGTCCATGTTAAATTTACTAACAATATCATCATTAAGTTTGAATTTGTTAATACTATCAAACATTTCCTGGATATTTGGTCTCTCATTATAGATAACATTCATCGATCGTTCAATTATTTCCATTAGTTTATCCTCTCTATTGATTATTTGGAAAAAATAAGTAAATAAATATATATTAATATATATATTGTTTTTATTATATTTTGTTTGTTAAAATTATTTCTATTAATATATTATTATTATTATTACTTAGATTTTGTATATCGTATACCAATAATATCATTGCCCAATGATTTACCTGGTTTTTCAGGTTCCCATCTATTCATAATAAAAAAATTTTTATTATATTAATAATAATAGTTAAGTTAATAATAATAAGTTAAATAATTACAATTAATTAACCAAATTTTAAAAAAATGTTGCTATAAATATTAACTTTTAAAAATAATCAATATTTCATAAATATAAATAATATAATTAATTAACTAATTTATGGTAATTTTTTAGTCAATAATTACAGTGTAATATATTAGTATGTTGTAGTTATACATACAAAAAAATATATTATTTTTTTTTTTAAATAAATACTTATTATTTAGTTTTAAAATGACAATATTAATTTTTTTATATTGAATATTAAAAATGAACCAGTAAGTTTTAAAAAAAAATTAATATAACAATTATAAAGTTAAAAACATCATATACTCATCAATATAGATATCAAATATGTCCTGGATAACAATGGCTGCACTGTATATGTCGACCGCAAGTGGATTATATTTTCTATACATAGCCGCCTGGCCATGGGTTGGCGGCTCCGGTAGGCTATCGGCTACAATGGCCAGCTCGTGAAACACTTCCTGCGGCTGATACTTGAACGTACCGACACCGCCGCACGTGCCGGTCATCGAGCCCAGGTCGGTCTGTATTTTGGCCAGTCCAAAATCGCCAATCTTAAACTGTAGCCGACCACCAACCCTACTACTACTACCAACATCACTGGTGACACCATCATCATCGACATGTCTAACAAACATTATGTTTTCAGGTTTGATATCCCGATGGGCTATCGGTGCCGGCATTAACTGGTGCAGGTGCTTGATTAGGCCCAATGTCTCAATAGTTAGCAACCATGATAGATGATAGTCTAGTAGATAATAATAGTCAGTAGTACTATTGATTGAATTTGATGATGATTTGAACATGGTCGTTTTGGTATCAATCAGATCCCTTAAGCTACCGTCACACCATTCCATTTGAATGTATAGTAGTTCCGATTCAAACCAATGGCTCAGGTAGTTGACTGTTTCGGGTGATTTTAGTGTCAATAATACGTGCAGTTCCCTGAAATCATTACTATTATAATAATAATTATTATTATTAGTACTACTGGTGCTGGCAATTGATTGTTGTTGTTGTTGATTGTCTAACAGTTCATCTGAAAAAAATACAGTTATTATTATTATTTTTTTTTTAAATATTATAAAAATTGATCATGATTATATTATGATAATAATAAATGTTTCAAAAAAATTGAAATAAAAATTTTTCAAAAAAATTGAAATAAAAATTTTTCAAAAAAAAATTATTTCCATTTTTTCAATTCAATGAAATAATTTTAATATTAGTTTAATGTTTGTTTGTTTGTCTGCATTTAAATACTGTAATAAAAACAGTTAATTATTTTCAATGTGAATAAAATTTTCAAAAAATAATTTTATTGTTTAGAGAATATAGTTGTCAAGTGATTTAAAATATAAAATATTTTATTTTTGTTTTTTTGAGGGATGGGTGGTTGGGTGGGTGTGTGGGCTCTTACCTAATGTAATATGTTTTCCCTGTTCGCTTCGATGATCATATTTTAGTCGACGTTCCTCCGGTACCTCACGGGTAACAGTGTCGGCACAGTTATCATGTTTGGCCAGTACACAGATACCAACTATTGATTTATATTTATACAGTATTTAGAAATTTTAATTTAAAATTTTAATAAAATTAGTAATTAGAAAAAAATACAATTAGTCACAATAAATTTATTTATTATATAATTATTATATTTGAGTGTTTAATTTAAATAATTTAATTAAAAAATACTATAAATTTACATTTAAAAATACAATTAATTAGTTAATTGATTAATTAAATTTATAATTATTTTTTGTCTATATTTTTTGGTTTTTTAAAATTTTTTTTATCTATATTTTAAATATGATTTTTTAAAGAAATTTATTTTTTCTAAATGACCTTTAATTATAATTATATATTTATTTTAATATTTTCAAAACCTCAAACTAAATTAACAAAAAAAAACATTAATTTAAATTTATTTATTTTCTGATGAAAAAATTATTTTTTAATTTTAATAATAGTAATAAATAACTAAATTATTTGATAAGATATACAACAATATATTATACAATAATTATTATTTATTAGACACACCTTTTAATGGTATCCGTTTAATAGCATACTGTTGCTTAATGCCGGCACCGGTAGTTTCGGTAACTTTGAATACTTGACTAAAACCACCATGTCCAATTTGTTGAGCATTACCAGTGTCACCATATAATCTAGCAAATCGGCCAATATCAACTTGATTTAAATCAACCATTTTATTATTAATTAATTAATTAATTATTATTTTTTTTTGATATAAAATAGTACTTAATATAAATGATATTTAAAAAAACTATAGTAATAAATGATAAAATTATTATTATATTATCAGGGCTATTGTAATAGTAATAATTTAATTATTTATTATCAAAAAATATTTTAATTGCATTACATTATTATAAATTTTATTTATTTATTTACAACTATTACTCTCTGTTTTATTTATTGCTACAGTTATTATCAAATCATCAAATTGTTAATATAGTATATATTATATATTAATATATGTATAATAAAAATGAAATAAATTATATAATATTTACGTAATTTATTATATTTAACAAAAAAATAATAAATGTTTTCGTGGTAGGCATTAATTTTATTTTATTATAATTTTTATCATATATTATTTATTTTTTAAATTATATTATTTAAAATTATTTTTCTTTAAAAGATAACTTGAAACAAAAATTTACATTAAAAATTTACAATTAAAATATTATAAATATAAATTTTATATTATTTACAATTTAAAAAAAAATATTTTATTATTATAACAATCTAATAAAAAAAATATAATTTAATATGAATTGAAATTCAAATTATTAGTTTACTACACTAAATTGATGATGATAAGATAAAATAAAAAATAAAAGTAATCAAAAAGTTTTTTTATACACAATATATATATATATATATAATCTTTAAAAAAGAAAAATAATTTTCAGTTATTTTATAATTACTTATAATAACAAACAAAACAATCATAACTTAAATATAAATAAAAATTTGATTTTTTTTTCTTACTTTTAAATTAATTATAAAAAAAACTTAATATCTAATAAATTAATAATAATAATTAAATGTCTACTAAACCGTTACACATATTAATGGTACCGTTGAGCGCCGTCGGCCACATAAACGCCTGTATCGGGTTAGCCCAACCGTTGTTGGCAGCTGGTCATCGGGTATCCATGACGTTGACCGATAGTTGGCGCGGCCAACTAACAAAGTACGGCATCGAGGAAGTCATAATCAAAGCCTTTGGTCAACCGTTGGATAAATCGGCTATGGGTGCTGATGTCCATGGCAGCGGTAAACAATCGGTAAGCGATGGCATCAAACATCTGTTAGAGGACGGCAGTGTTGCCGATCTGACACCGTTGGAAAAGGCCAGTCGATTTGGACCGATAATACGTCTATGGATGGAAAAGGCTGTCCAATTGGACAGTGAGTTGGACAGAGTAATACCGGATCTGAAACCCGATTGTCTGATTCTGGATCAGTTGATGCATATAACGGCTGCAGAGTTGTCAGGTTTGCCGTACGTATTGTCATGGAGTCCGGGGCCACTGATCATAACCAGCGTAAGTGATGAACGTTTGCCTCCCTGTGCTTCAGGTACCTATGTTTATGTGTGTACGGTATGTAAGTATTTATATAATAATAATAATCAGAATTTCTATATATAATCAAAAAGGACTGTCGGCTTATGGCGACCCAAACGAGTGGAAACAATACCGACAGGTCTGGTGTGAAGCCATACACGACGTCTGGCATGAATTTAACTCATATGTTATATCCCGAGGCTGTCGACCTCTGGCCACCAATAATCTGACTAAACCAGACGATTGTCTCAATCTATACGGCTATCCACTTGAGTTAGACTATCAAGACGTACGACCATTGCCCGAAAATTTCTACCGTTTTGATAATCTTATGCGTCGTCAGGAAATCCTAGACAACAACAACCCGGCGATGTTTGACATACCCGAGTCGTTGCGTCTGCAAAAACTGGGAAAACTAGTCTACTTTTCGATGGGTACACTCGGATCGGTAGATGTGGTTAATATGAAACGATTGGTCAATATATTAGCTAAATCGCCAAACAGGTTATCATTAATCGTATTATTATTATTAGGTATTACATACCCCACTCATTAACCCCCACTACCCCTTCCTCCTACATACCACGCATAGGTTTATCGTATCGATGGGACCCAAACACTACGAGTACTCACCACTGCCGGCCGCAAACATGTGGGGTCAGTCATCGGTACCGCAAACACAGGTATTGCCACTGGTCGATCTGGTCATTACTCACGGTGGTTCAAATACGGTTACCGAAACTATGGCCTACGGCAAACCCATGATAGTGTTGCCATTGTTTGGCGACCAATGGGACAATGCTCGCCGGCTGGACGATCTTGGCCTCGGCATACAATTGGATGCCTATCGGTGTACCGAATCGGAGCTATTAGCGGCTGTGGACCGGCTGACAGCTGATACCGAGTTGGCCAAAAAATTGAGCCAAATTGCCGAACGTATTCAATCAGAAAATAGTTTAACAAAATTGCCTGAAATTTTAGTCAATTATGTTAATGGATATCGAAAATTATAATTATAATTATTATTTTCAAATATCTTAATTGCATTAAATTATTATAATTTTAATTAATTTAATTATTTACTACTAGTACTGTATATTACTTTCTATTAATTTATTGCTACAGTGATTATCAAATCATAATATATTAAACATACAGTGATTTTTGTTATCTAAATATTAATATTAATTATATATTAGTAATATTTTAATAAAACTATTAATATCTATTAATAACTACTATTAATTTATAGGCAAACTCCTCCACCCGATTGATTAATACTAAAAAAATTATTTTAAACTTTATATGTAATTATTTATTTATTTTTTGAAAAAAAAATCAATTTTAATTTTGAATTTTTTTTAGTTTTATTTTTTATGATAAATAAAATTTATTTAAAAAAAATAATAACATAATTCTAATAATTATCAATTAGTTTATATTAGTATTGATGATTGATAAAACTAAAATAATTGCTTATTAAACTAAAATAAACTCTCATTAAAACAAAATTTTATTAAAAAAAATAGTTTTCCAGATATAAATTTTTTTTATCATCTTGATACTTTTGATAAAATTAACTGTACCTGATGAAACATTTGTGCCTAACACTGAAAACATAAAATTTTTTATCATTAGGAAAGTTACTCCCAATATATATATATATACTGTATATATAATTTATATATTGAATATATATTGAATATATATATATTAAAATACAATACTTTTTATTCATAAGATATTTAGACTATTAATAAAAATAACTAAATATTTGATTAGTTTGTTGTCAACCGGATCTCTATCTCTTTTACAATTAATATATAAATATATATTTATACTTATTATATAATATACTACAAATTGATGATGATAATGATAAGATAAAACCAACAAAATATTTTAATTGCATTACATTATTATAAAATTTTATTTGTTTAGCTGCCTTAAAAAAGTTTAAAAATTTATTTATTTACAACTATTACTCTCTCTATTTATTTATTGCTACAGTTATTATCAAATCATCAAATTGTTAATATAGTATATTATATATTAATATAAGTATAATAAAAATGAAATAAATTATATAATATTTACTTAATTTATTATATTTAACTAAAAATAATAAAAGTTATGCATTAATTTTATTTTATAATAATTTATATCATATATTATTTATTTTAAAATTATTTTTATTTTAAAGATAACTTGAAACAAAAATTACATTTACATTAAAAATTTACATTAAAATATTATAAATATAAATTTTAGATAATTTACAATTTTTTTATAAAATATTTTATTATTATAATAATCTAATAAAAAATAACAAAAATTATAATTTCATATAAATTGAAATTCAAATTATTAGTTTAGTACACTAAATTGATGATGATAAGATAAATTAAAAATAAAATGCAATCTCAATAAAATTTCAATTTTTTACACAATATATATAAATTAACAAAATATATAATCTTTTAAAAAAAATAATTTTTAGTTATTTTATAATTACTAACAAACAAACAAAAAATAATCGTAACTTAAATATAAATAGTTTTTTTTATTTTTTTTATTTTTCTTAATTATAAAAAAATTATAAAATATCTAATAAATTAATAATAATAATAATAATTAAATGTCTACTAAACCATTACACATACTAATGGTGCCGTTGAGCGCCGTCGGCCACATAAACGCCTGTATCGGGTTAGCCCAACCGTTGTTGGCAGCTGGTCATCGGGTATCCATGACGTTGACTGATAGTTGGCGCGGCAAACTAACAAAGTACGGCATCGAGGAAGTGATAATCAAAGCCTTTGGTCAACCGTTGGACAATTCGGCTGTCGGTGCTGATGTCCATGGCAGTGGTAAACAATCGGTAACCGATGGCATCAAACATCTGTTAGAGGACGGTAGTGTTGCCGATCTGACACCGTTGGAAAAGGCCAGCCGATTTGGACCGAAAGTACGCCGATGGATGGAAAGGACTGTCCAATTGGACATTGAGTTGGACAGAGTAATACCGGAGCTGAAACCAGATTGTCTGATTCTCGATCAGTTGACTCATATAACGGCTGCCGAGCGGTCAGGTTTGCCGTATGTATTATCATGGAGTCCGGGGCCGCTGCTAATAACCAGCGGAAGTGATGAACGATTGCCTCCCTGTGCTTCAGGTATAGTATGTTTGTATGTTTATGTATATATATATATATCAGGGTTAAGTAAGGGGGGGTAGGGGGGGGGGGCCAAAATACCCCCCTAAGATCGAGAAATTGGGATTTTACCCCCCCCAGACTTTTTGACCAAATTGAAAAAATTGTCGCTTAAAAACAAGGAGAAATGACCCCCCCCTAAAATTTCGGCGCCTAAGGCGCCGAAAATTTTAATTTTAGTTGATACTATTTTAGTAAGTGTTTTTATGTTTTTAATATTTATAAAAATGTAATTATTGATTAAAAATAGTTAAAATAACGTTAAAAGTCATCAAAAAATAACATTATTTTAATTAAAATAAACTAAAAAATTAAAAATTACCTATTTGTTGAAGAGTAATCATATTACAATTTAAATATAAGTTTAAGAAGTTAATAAAACAATAAATACTTATGTTTTTATTAATAATTTTTAAATTTTAAATAAAAAATTTAAAAATATTTTCAATTTTGTACTTTATATAATTAAACTTTAACGAAATTTGAGTTAAATAAGTAGTATTCAGTCAGTATTTGTATAAAAATAAAAATATATAACAAACTATAAACATTAAGTATTGTTTAAAAAATTAATTATGGTAAAAGTTAAAAATTATTAAAATACTAAAAATAACTCATAGTGTATCATTAATGCTTTTATCAACTATTTTTAAATCTTAAATAAATTATTTTATTTTTTTGTTAAAATTTAAGTTTTTGTTAATTTTTAAGTTTTTTTTAAGTTTTTTTTATATTTTTGGAAATTTTACCTATTTTCCCGGGAATTTATACGGGAACTTGTGGGAATTTTCTTGATTTTACATGGGAATATTCGGGAACTTAAGGAATTTTTAGGGAATTTTCTCTAGACCCCCCCTTGATTTTGGATTTTTGAAAAAATTGCCGTTTAAAAATGCAATAAAAATCTTACCCTACCCAATACCCCCCCCAAGATTTTTTGAGAATTTTGTAAATTTTACCCCGGTCTTCCCCCCCCTAAAATCCAAAACCTTGCTTAACCCTGATATATATATATATATATGTGTGTGTGTGTCTGTATGGATGGTATGTTAGTATTTATAAATAATATTTATATATAGGACTGTCGGCTTATGGCGATCCAAACGAGTGGAAACAATACCGACAGGTTTTTGGTTCAGCCATTCACGACGTCTGGCAAGAGTTTAACTCATATGTTATCTCTCGAGGCTGTCGACCTCTGGCCACCAATTGTCTGACTAAACCAGACAATTGTCTGAATCTATACGGCTATCCACTAGAGTTAGACTATCAGGACGTACGACCATTGCCTGGAAATTTCTATCGTTTTGATAATCTTATGCGTCGTCAGGAAATCCTTGACAACAACAATCCGGCGGTGTTTGACATACCGGAGCCGTTACGGCGGCAAAAACTGGGAAAACTAGTCTACTTTTCGATGGGTACACTCGGATCGGTAGATGTGGTTAATATGAAACGATTGGTCAATATATTAGCTAAATCGCCGAACAGGTTATTATTAATAGCATTATTATTATTAGGTATTACATACCCCACTCATTAACACCCACTACCCCTCCCCTTACATACCACGCAAAGGTTTATCGTATCGATGGGACCCAAACACTACGAGTACTCACCACTGCCGGCCGCAAACATGTGGGGTCAGTCATCGGTACCGCAAACTCAGGTATTGCCACTGGTCGATCTGGTCATTACTCACGGCGGTTCAAATACGGTTACCGAAACTATGGTCTACGGCAAACCCATGATAGTGTTGCCATTGTTTGGCGACCAATGGGACAATGCTCGCCGGCTGGACGATCTTGGCTTCGGTATTCAATTGGATGCCTATCGGTGTACCGAATCGGAGCTATTAGCGGCAGTGGACCGGCTGACTGCTGATACCGAGTTGGCCAAAAAATTGAGCCAAATTGCCGAACGTATTCAATCCGAAAATAGTTTAACAAAATTGCCGCAAATTTTAGTCGATTATGTCAATGGATATCGAAAATTATAATAATTATATTATATTATATGATAATAATATAATTAAATCAATATTAATAAAATTTAATTTCAATTTTTTCACGATAATTTACAAACTGTAATAAATTAATAAAATAATTATTTGCATTGTTTATAATTTCAATGATTATTAAAATTATAGATTTATAAAATGCCTCAGATTTTATATAATATAATATATAATAAATATTTTTTAATAATTATTTTAAATATTTTTTATTTTACTTAAAAAAATATTTCTTAAAAAAATCTACTAAAATGTCTGTATAACATGTTTTTTAAACATTTATATTATTAAATAAACTAGGTAATAATTTTTTATTAAAATTTTATAATAAAATTTAACAAAATTATTAACCAAACTGAAAATTTGAGATCAAACAGTTATCATTAAATATTTTATAGATATAAAGATTAATATTATATAAAAATTTATATCATATAAGTTGACTATAATTTAAATTTTTATATGAATTCTATACAATAGTATTATAAATTTATTAACTTAATTATAAATATATTATTTTGTCGTGTCAATAACATTACTATTATAAAATAAAATTTAAATTTAAACAATTAAATTATTTTTTGATTTTTCATACTAATAATAATTAACATTATCATTTATATTAGATATATTTTACAATTGTTTAATTTTTTAACAAATATGTATATCAGTTATATTGTTTTATTTATCCTATTATTTATTTTTAAAAATAGGAAATTAAAATTATTATTATTATTATTATTATTATTATTACTAAAACTATTATTTTATACAACAACAAAAATTTTAACAATAATAAAACAAGCACTATAATAATTTGCTAAATTATATTAATAATATTTTAACTATAAAGTAGTATTATTTTAGTGATAAAATTAATAGTCTTAATAAATTATTTATTAATTGATTTTATAATTTATTATTGTTTTGTTTAAAAAAAACTAAGTTTTATTTTTGACTTTTTATTTATTTATATTTATTCTGTACTTATCATTAATATAAAAATAAATTAGGATATTTAAAATTATATAAATAGCAATATAATAGACACTTACACTTATACAGACACACACACACACACACACACACATATATATATATATATATATACATACATACACTCATACACACACACTTGTCTGAGATTTTTTAAGTTTTTCAATAAATAGTTTTTAAACAAGTTTTATGTATTAAAGTAATATATAAACACTGATTTAATGTCAAGAAAAAAAGTGTTTCATTTAAAACAACTGTTTGTTATTTTGGACATTTAAATGATGTAATAAAATAGGGAAATATAACAACAACAACAAACAACTAAATAAAATGTAATAAATTAATTTAAAAAAACGAGATTTATATTATATATATATATATATATATATATATATATATATATATATATACAGTATATATAATATATATGATATTTTTTTAAACATAAAATACATATAATAAATGAAAAAAAACTAGAATAAGAGATTACCGTATTATATATACTGTATTTATATATATATAGATGATATAATAATTATAAAATATATCTTATATAATACATTAGTTTATTATACTATCAGTGAAAACAATTTTATTTTCTAGTTTAAAAAATATAAGATTATATACATTAATATAATAATAGATTTTAAACTACTATATAAATATTAATTATATATATATATATTTATATTTATAATTGATATCTCTAGACATAATATTTATAAATAATAATTATAATATAATATATTATTATAAATAAAATAAACTAATTTTTTTCTTAAATATTATTAATATTTTAGTTTATTTTATTTTATATATCATAAACTTGTTAGAAGTGACCTCCATTTCAGACTAAATAATAATAATAATAATAATAAAATAATGATAAATATATTATAATACTGTAATCAAAGCGAAGGTGAAGTGAAAATACCAGTATTGAAATAATTTAATTAATCAAAAAAAAATATTTATTCAATAATAATAATAATATTTTAATTATAACTTTTTAAAAATATAATTTCAATTTGTATTACTAGAGAAATTATTGATATTTTTTGTTTTGTTTTAAATTTGTTTGTTTTTTTACTATCTAATGTATTATTATGTGTTTAAAATAATTAATAATATATTATTATTATTATTATTATTATTATTTGATTGGTGTTGTTTGAGTTTAAACTTAAATGCGTATAATATTTGAATAATATATAGTATTATATATATATGAAATAATATCAATCAATACATATTATTTAAACTAATAGAGATTTTTATATTTAAAAAAATTAATTATTTTTAATAAAATAATTAATATATTTATTATAATTATGTCACGTGACTAAAAAACAATTTTTTGCCAAAAATTAAAAGTTTTTAATATATTTTTTTCTTGATATAAAAAATGCAAACTATATGTAAGTAAAAATAAAAAATAATAATTAATTAATTTCTATATTAATTAAACTTTTGTGACTATTTTAAGACAGTAATTGATTTAAGAAAACTAAAAATTGATTTCTATTTTGATTTCAAAAAAATATAGTTTAATATTAAATAAATTTACTATATCTACAGGTGCTCGTCAATTATCTACCGGCACCGGTAGCACCGGTAGTTTAATGACAATGTCATCGTTATCATCATTATTATCGTCACCTGTTATCACCACTGGATTTATATTCATAACTATTTTCTATACATTACTATTACCTCAAATACATTGCGCGCCTACTGTACCAACTACTGGCGGTGCCAACAAATGTCCGGACGTACGGCAACAACCGTCGGCCTACAGTCGACAGTGTCGATGCTCGACCAATAGTACAGGCCATACGGTTATCGTATGTAATGGTGACGACATTATCGATATGAACAACTATTTTGTCGGTCTAAGCCAATACCAATCAACAATGCAGACCATCGCTGACGGTAATGATGGCCAACAACACCACGAGCCGGAACCGTACGACCAGTTTGTTTTGAACAATACAGCCGTCACCGAACTTGGCGACCAATTTCTCGGTAACGTTACGTTCAAGAGTATTCATATTAAGGATGCGTTCAGTTTGGGCCGTATAGCGGCCAACGCTTTCGGCCCTAATTGGTTAACAGTCGAGGAGTTGGTCATCGATGGCGAGTCACAATTGGGCGCATCGGGCAGTGATCGCGATCTGGACGAACTTTTCGATGCCCTCAGTTCGCTAGTTGAGGCCAAACGTATATGGCTTAACCGTAATCATCTCCGGCAGATACCGTCGGTAGCTTTCGGCAAATATTCTGGCCAAGACTATCGATTAGTGGATCTTAATTTCAATCGGTTTTCGGTAAACAACGGTCACATTCAGTCCATAGGCAACTATGCCTTCTACTATCTGAATCAATTGAGGCACCTGTATCTGTCTCATCAGCGCCTGGACTATGTACCGGCCAATGCGTTTGACTTTGAACGGCCGTCCAATCAGACACTCTATATCTATATGGGTAACAATAGGTAAGTGAAGGGTAGGGGTATGGGGTGTGTGGGAAATGTATAGTTTAGATATAAAATTATTAAGTTTACGGTAACTATATTTCTAATATAATTATTTAGTTTGTTTTTAATTAATTGTTTGTTTGATTGATTGACAGATTAAATAATACCAGTTTCGAAAGGGGTGTCCTATTGAATGCCAAACGGCCGGTCCATTTGGAGCTATACTGGAACCCACAGCTAACCTATTTGGACGAAACAATATTTGCGCCGTTCCTCCGACAGGATAAGCGCAACCATATACGACTGGGCGATCAGCCGCTAGCTTGCGATTGCAAATCCTATTGGATGGTCAGGGATAAGGACGGGTTCGGCAAACAGATATCCAATGCCAAGTGTAAGGTAGGGCCGAATAAGGTATTCAGTATTGATCTGATACCGTTTGACCAGTGCCGCAATAAAATGTCTGCCCGATTGATGGCATCGAAATCCAGGCGCCGCAAACATTTGAAACATTGATGAAAAATTATTTGTAATAACTCTCTCTCTCTCTCTCTCTCTCTCTCTCTCTCTCTCTCTCTCTCTCTCTCTCTAAAAATATATTTATTAGTTTTATTATTAGTATTATTAGTTTTATAATACACTTATTTAGTTTTGTTTACTCTCTAAGTAAAAGATAAATAAAACAATAATAATAATTAAGTCTTAATTTTCTTTAACGATATCTCTCTCTCTCTCTCTCTCTCTCGAAATTTGTGGTTAAAATTAGTATTATTTAAAAAAAATCAAGTAATAAATATTTTCTATACAAAAAAATTAATTTACAAACTTATTAACATAATAATTTTAATCATAAATATATATACCATAAATTTTAGTTTAGTTATCCTAAACACTTTGTACATATATTATATACATACATATATATTAATGAATAATATGATATATTAATGTTTAATTAATATTTTTTTTATATATAAATAATTACGAATTATTTACTAATAATTATATTACTAATAATAATAATTTATTGTATTTTATACAAAATTAAAAGTTAAATTAAATTATAAACAATTAATTTTTAAAAAAAATATCTACTACATATCTATTTAATTTAATTAATATATTTTATTTAAATATCATAAATTATGATAAAATCTGCTAGATGGCATAATTATATAATAACATAAATAAATAATAAAAATTATAAAAGTAACATGTGCGCAATTATTGTAAATTTTAATTCAAATATAATAATTAATTAAACATCAATTATAATGTTTACTGTATTATAGATATTGATTTACTGAATTTTATTAAATTATTAACTTAAAATAAAATAATTAGAAATTATATTATAATAATTTTTATTTACATTAATAATATTATTAATAAATAAATTAAATTTATTAATATTATTAGTATATTTGTAAATTATTACAAGTTGTAATAATAATAATAATAATAATACTAGAGTATTAATAAATTATTTAAATTAGCTATGTCAATTTAATTTTTTCAATTAATAATCATATTTTTCTAGATAATATTTACCTTGAAAATTTATCCTAGTCATCATCATCAAGTACACAATTATCAAGTACATTTAAAATTTATTGGCTTACGCAACCTTAATTTATAAACATGAAATAACATAAAAAATATCTAAACTATTTAATAATCTAATAATAATAATATTTTTAATAATAATAATATTTTTTACCGAAAGTGTAATAACAAAAATACCGTAAAAACAATGTCTTTGCGGACACTTTTCCGTAAACTCTATTCAAATGACTATCTGTTTGTGACAAACGTCTCATCGGGTGCTCTGCTTCTGGTGGCCAGCGATGCCATACAACAGGCCGTCGAACGGCGTTTCCTAATCAACAGCCGAATCGCTGCCGATAACGACCAGTCCATAGCTACCTATGACCGTAAACGAGCCGGTAAGTCACACATATATCTGAAATACAAACACACACATACATACCCACTATCTAACCCCCCCCCCTCTCTCTCTCTCTCTCTATCTATCTCTCAGCAAAAATGGCCGGCTGTGGTATCTATTTTGGCGTTTTAGGCCACTATTGGTACCGATTTCTTGACCGACGTTTTCCGATCGGCAAACCACTAGCCATACGCAACAAATTGCTTTGCGAGGCAGCCCTGAGTCCGCCGTTTGCCGGTTCGCTTTTTCTGGTAGCCGGTGCGGCCAGTGGCCAGTCGTGGCCGGAAATCAAGGGTCAAATTCGGGACAACGCCGGCTATATATGTCTAGTAAGTAGACTATCTCTCTCTCTCTCTCTCTCTCTCTCTATACTATACTATTTAATACTATCCAAACCGCACCCACCCCACCCCCCCAACAGGTCGACTATGCGATATTCCTGCCGTTACAGTATCTAAACTTTCGGTTTGTACCACCAAACCAACGGTTACTATTTGTGGCGGCCGTTGGTATCGTTTACGATATGTTTCTATCATTTGTATTGAATAGACATTCAACTAATAACACTATAACATCTAAAACGGACGGTTTAGTTGCGGTATAATTAATATAATGTATTTCCTGCAAAAAAAAATATATATAAAACTAATTTAACTAAAAATTTCCGGGAAATTTTCCGCACAAATGGGTATTTTTACAACAAAAAAAACAATTAACAAATTTATTTGATTAATCTATTTATATATATATTATCACATTTAGTAAAAAATATGAAAAATAAACTATTTTTTTAAACTTTTTCAATAATAATAATAATAATAATTTATAAATTTCTTAAATATATATATTTTTTTTGTATAGAAAAAAGTCTTAAATAATTTTACGGTAAATTAATTAATTGTATAATCAAAACGTATTATCGGTTGTCTCGGAGGTCGCGACCCGAACTTCTTGGGCAGTCAACAGACAATACATTCGTTGTTGGCTTTCGCGTGAATAGGAGTTTCGGCGTCGGGCGACAGCTCGCAGTATCAGCTCTTTGGCCACCGGCGCCGGCCACAGGCCAGACTCGGGATCGACAAATACCCGATGAACCGATCGACGGGCCGTTCGACCAGCACTACTGATGGCAACCTCCGGTTCGGCTACCAATCGGTTCAACAGGTCATCGGTTTCCTTATCGTTTTTGTCGTCGTTGTTATTGACTCCCAAAGTACGGGCCAATGCCTCCCGCAAATCGAGTCGGGACTCTTCGCGCTCTATTTCATCATCAGTACTGTTAAACAAGTGCTGACCTCCTCCTCCACCAACACCTGCGCCGCGTCTCCTCTTAAACCTTTCACCTATTATTTCCGTCAACTCTGGCCAAACCATTTCGGCAATTTTGTCGAACACTTCGGTCGACAGCGTGTGCAATGTCTTTTCGGCTTCGGTTTTACTGTCGAACAGCGGCTTCTGACGTCTAACCGGTACCGGACGCGCCGTACGCCACAGTTCCCGCCAAACGTTGTCTTCGGCCGACATTCGGTCCGACAGTTGACCAGTGGAGTCGACAAAATCGCGGGGCGAATGCCAGCGAACAAAATCGGCAAATTCGGCGCCTGGATTGGCCGCCAAAAATGCTTCCATATCGCTGACCAGTTGGGCTGACTGTACACGCGCCCGTACGGCAGCTGACGCGCCGTCGGCGGCCAATCGCTGAATAAGCGTTTGTGTTTCGGTCGCCATCTCGGAGGTAACCGGAGGTGGCGACTGTGTTTCGGGAACATAGAGTGATTGTGTCGGATCCGATAGTAGTGTCAAATCGCGCAACGGTTCGCTGCGGCCTTCAGGCACTGACTGCTTATCCTCAGCGTCTTTGTTGTCGTCATCCGCGGCGTCGAAAAACTCGTCTTCCGAATCGTTCTCCACATCTTCTTCGGCGTCTCTCATTCGCTTGACTTCCGATTCGATACAGTTTTGCAAATACTGTAACTTCTGATGCAACAGACTTCGGCCCCAATCGGGTGTCGAATGTTCGGCAACTCCCGGCAACAGTGTCCGCGATTCCCAATGTTTCCGAAGTCGTACACAAACTTCGCGCCAAAACGCCCGAACAGTCCCAACATCTTCAGTAAACTGTACGACACAATTGAACAGTTCTTTGGCCACACCAGTGGCCAACTGGTCGGTCGATTCGAACACACGATTCACCCGATTTCGTACCGAATTTCTTTGCGACCACTCGTCCGCCGACATTCGTTGACTTTGGCGTTCGGATAGTGCGTCAAACACTTCGCGCGCTTCGTTGCCCAACACTCGGTCCAAAAACGGTTGATCGGCGGCTCCGGCGGCGCGTGAAAAGTCCCGCCAACGACTCAGAGCTATGGCCAACGCACTCTTGGCTTCGGACCGGCGAACGGCTCTCAGTGTCCACGTCTCGGCGTTATTGGGCGTCAAATCTGAATGAACCTCCGAATCGATTATCACTTGATCGCTAATTCGCTGCCAAACGGCGGCCAACTGTAACTCTTTAAGTGGATTGTCTCCGTCGGGCAGTTCCAGACCAAAGTCTTGCAGCGGAGGCGCCTCTAATGTCGTCGTCAATGACATCAACGAAAAGGTTACTCGAGCCGAGACTTTGATTGGTTGGCCGGACGACAGACCCGTTTGACGGCGAAACAGTGTCGTCAGTCCGGACAAGTGTCGCAATGGCGGCGGTGTTGCCGACAAATGGGCCATACGGTAGACAGTGCGGCGGTCATCGTGCGACCGGACGCCCCAATAGAGTCGACGTTTGCGATGCAACAGACAAAACACAGGAACCGTATGGCCGGTAGCGGTCAGTGCCAGACTCAGAGCCGATAGTAGTAGACGAATACGATCTTCGCAATCGGTATCCGCTGCCGATCGCGGCGTCAACAGTAGAAATCGGCGTTCGCCAAACCAGCGGACAATACAGTGGGCTCGCGGCGGAAAATCCTGACAGTCGGCCACTAAATACGGGTTCAAAAAGAGAGAGAGAGAGAACGAAAAATCAATGGTCATAATCGCGGTAACCGTATGGCCAACAAAAAAMAACTCACGACTACTGTCTACTACTTCGCGATGATAGCGGACATCGAAAGTAGTATTACCGAAGCGTACGTCTGTCCTCTGTTGATGTTGTTGTTGGCCATCGGGATCAGTGCCATCATCGGTACCGCCGCCGCTGCCACCGCCGCCGCCACTGTTATCTTTGCCGACTGTTTCGCGTAATAACTGGTCAAATGCGGCCACAAATGTCTCGTACGGCGTCTGTGTAGTGAAGTCGCAGATCTCGAAGATATCGTCCATTAGTTTTCAGATTTTGTTTTTGTTTTTTTATTGTAAGTGTCGTCACATACGTGTCGAAGCCATGCAATGCAATGCCATCTATGTATGTGTTTGCCGTTGCGTGGGTTGCCGTTAGCAACGCATTAATTAATTTTTAAATTTCAAAAATAATATTTTTGATAATATTTTTGAATATTTTTTTTGATATAAAATTATTAATTAATTAATTTAAATGTTTTTTTTAAATAAATTTTTATCTATCTATTGTACTATTAAAACTTAATAATATAATTTTTAGAAAAAAATATATTTAATATAATTTTCTTAATGTTTTTTTTTTTTAATTTGTTTATTAAAAATATAATTTGCTTTATAAATTTATATATAATATTTATTTTAATTTTTTTTAATAAAAAAATAAACTGTAATTAATTAATGGATAGCAAATATTTATTATATATTTACCAAATAAATAACTATAATATTTTGACCAGAAATTAAACGAACTCTATATTTGTTATTTTTAAAAAAAAATAAATAAATATATATATATTTTATAAAAACATATTTTTAATTTTTTTGTAATACTTTTATATATATATTTTTAATAATAATTTAGTAAATCTATAATAATAAATAAATATATAATTGTTTAATGAATTCTCTCTCTCTCTCTCTCTCTCTCTCTCTCTCTCTCTCTCTCTCTCTCTCTCTTTCTCTCTCTTTCATAATTATAAATTAAAATAATTGAAATTTTAAATTTCATTATTATTATAATAAAAAATACATTTTATTATAATAATAATTATTTATTTTTAAAAAATTAGATTTTTTATTCTCTGAAAACTTTATCAAACTGTAAAAAACTGTTTTATATATATAATAATAACTAGATGTCAGTCATGTTTTATTTAATTATTTTTTTAAAAATACTATTAAATTGAAAAAAAGAGAGTGAGTTAGTGAGTGAGTTAGTTAATTAATGAGTGGGTGAGTGAGTGAGTGAGTGTGTGTGTGTGTGTGAGAGAGAGAGAGAGAGAGAGAGAGAGAGAGAGAGAGAGAGAGAGAGAGAGAGAGAGAGAGAGAGAGAGAGAGAGAGAGAGAGAGAGAGWGTAATGTATATTACTATATGTGTGATGTCCTTAAACTCCATATAATAATAATAATAATAATAATGAAAAAACTTGTAATAATTATAATACATTTGTTAACAAATTTTTTCCTCTCTCTCTCTATGTTTTTGCAAAATCAAAGTAATGTCAAGTTTTTAAAATAGTTTTTTTATTTTAAAAATAATTAATTAATTAATAAATATTTGTTGTATAATAAATTTATTTTACTAAATAATAATTAATTATTTTTTTTTGATGATTTTATTTATTTTTATAGTTAAAAATCAATTGGTAAGTGATTTAATAACAAAAATWTTATTAATTTTTAATTATATTTATATATATATATATATTAATCTAAAAATAATAACTATACAGACATTTTGTTTGAAACTAATTATTATTAGTTTTCAAATGGTATTGTTATAGTAATTATATATAAATATTGAAATTGAAAAAAATTTAACTTAATTTATTACATATATTGAAATATCCTAGTAGATTATTATTATTATTATTTTAAGTAATTTAAATTTTTAATTCTAACTTATTAATATAATTTTTTTATATTGTATAAATTAAATAAAGTAGTTAAAAAAGTTTTTAYCTATACAATTACTATGCATTTATATATATATAGTTAAGTTTAATAAAATAATAAATAATAACATTGATATTATTATAATGTTACTAAACTGTTAATTACTAGTATATATATATATATATATATATACWGTATATTTCAATTTAAATGTGCAATGTTGATTTTGTAAAAAAAATAATATACATAAATATCACAATTTTAATAGTTTAATAGTATTTATTTTTTTTAAAAAAATATATCTATTTATTAGTCATACAAGAAATAGCAAGTAGATTATTGATTCTATAAAAAGTTAAAATTTACTAAATAATTGTTTTTATATATCGTATGTATTTTAAAAAATATATATTTGTTAATTTAGTTATTATAATTTAAACAAAATTATGTTTTTTTTTATAAAATAAAATTGTATTAAAAATATGTGATTATAGATGCCGCTACAATATATAAGTAATCAAATAATTTAGAGCAACAATAATAATACTTTACTGTACTTTATATACAATAATATTAAAATGAAAATTTTGTTCGATTTTTTTCTCTCTCTCTCTTTCTAACAAATCATACATCGCTCACATAGTCAACACTAATATTTGAATAGTTTATRWATATACTTTACTGTAGTATACTGTTTRCCTGCATAACACTATTGACAACACTAGGCATTGGCTCTAGTAATTTGCACCAATAGTATGATAACTAATAACAATGGATGCTCTCTATCTATCTCTATATATATATATACTGTATATTCAAATACATTGCAAACATTGATCATATAGTATGCGATAATTTGTTTGATTCACTTTAAATGTAAAAATAAAGTAAATATTTTATTTATTTATTTATTAAATATAGTTAAATAATTTTTTTTAAAAATTACACTAAATTAAGGTATGTATAAAAAGTTTTAGTTAATACTAAAATATATTTATTTTTTTAACTTAAAAAAAAGTTAGCATATTCATTTTTAATTTATTAATATTATTAATAACAATAATAATAAAAACTATGATTTTCTATGCTATGATTTATGCATGCGTTATATATATAAATATTTTTTTTAAATTAAAATTTTATTATTAAAATTTAATTAACTATATGATATTTTTTAATTAAAAAACAATTTGTCCATTGTTAAGTTTAGAATAAATTCTTTAAAAAAAATTGACAATGCTCAAAGTTTTATAGATTTTATTTAAACTGAAAAATATATATATATATATAATATAAAAAAAACTAAAGTTTGTATGCATAGTACTATGTATTCCATATTGTAAGTTTTTTGGTACATTGTACAACTAGAGTTTTTACAGTATAGAACGTACTATATGGACGTTTTTTTTTTAGTTTTAGCAAGTTGTTGCAAGTTTGTTTTTCTGGCAATTGAGTTTAACTAACTTAATTTTTGACAAACGTACTTTATGGTTGGTGTCAAATTGTACAATGTACTAATATAAACACAAAACTTTTATGTTCACTTATTCGAATTGCCTGCGCGTAGGCTACACTAATTAGCCTAACAACTTGACGCTAGTTTGGTACCATTTAGTACTACATACTAGATACATATCTATATACAAAAATCGGACCAAATTATCTGGTAGCTAGTTACTTGTAAAACTGTAAAAATAAAAATTTTTTTTGGGTAAAAATTATTATTGATTTTCTTTTTGCTCAGCCCTTAGAAAACTTCGCTCAAAACTAAACTACAAACTACTAGTAATAGTAGTAGTAGTGAGAGGAAAGTCATATTATTTTAGAGAGTGTGGAAAACTTAGCTTAAGTAGTACTACTGGGCTCAGGGATATATCTATAGAAAGAGAGTTTTATCCACTGATAGGGAAAGGGAGCTCACAGTGTATAGAGAGTGTGGAAATAAGTGTATTAGTTGTTTGAATGGTTGTGTGTTGTTTAGTACTGTATGTATAAAACTGTAAAAAAAAATTTTTTTTATTTAATTAATTTTATTTTAATAATATTGGTATTAATATTATAAATGTATAATAAAATTGATGTCTTAGCTAATCGGCCACCGATTCAATAGACATATTATAATAGAAAATGTTTAATAATAATAATAATAATATACTATTAATACTACTGTTTAGTATATAATAACAACTACAGTGTGTTTACAAAAACAGCAAAATTAGTGGTCAAAAGTTTTAACCATTTTTTATATTTATTTATATAAAAAAAAAATTTATATTATAATTACTGTTAGTATTTGTTATACATTTAAATTATTTATTTATTTTTTAATATTTTATTATTTGTATTATCAGAGAGAGAGAGAGCGGGTACTACACCTAAATAACTAACTGATCCATACATATACATACATACATACAGTGTGTGTATATATATATATTAACAATTGGTTGGGTTATGTTATCAAACAGTATGTCCTCATCGCAGGACTTTACAGATATTCAACAGCAATTGAAAAAGACAATAATGGCTCATCAGGTTAGTAGTGGTTACATACCTGTCCTCACAATAGTTTAGTATTAGTTTTAAAATAAAAAAAAAATTATTTATTAATTTTGTTTTTTTTTGAAACTATTTTTTGTTGTATATACATAAACATAGTATTTATTTACTAGTATTTAACTACTAGTGTATTGTTGTTGTTATTGTATTAAATAGTAATAATAATAATTAGTATTTCAATATTTGGTATTATAATTATCAATGTATATGTATTTATGATTTTTTTTTTAAATAATAATTTTATTATTAATAAATTAATTTATAATTATTTATAGCATTAGTTATAGTTAGTAATAGTTGTTTGACTATTGTTTGTTTTTTTTTTGAAGTAGCAATTAATTAAATGGCTATAAATTGATATTTATTTTTATAATCAAGTTTTTTTAAAATTTATAGTTAGTTATTATAAATTATTAATTTATTAATTAGTTAGTTAACTACTATTTATTTTTATTTTTTTTAAAAACAGTATAATAGCTACGATTTTTTGATATTTAAAATGTCTAATATGTTTAGTATTATTACTGTATGTTATTTAGTGCTAATACTTATTATATGATTTATAATATTTTATTTTTTTTATTACCTATCAATTAATTTTTATTAATTATATTTTTGTTATATATATATTGTATTAACAGATTGCTGTCTCCAAACTGCAAACCGATCCACAGGTAAAGCCAATTGTTTTTTTAGTTATTTGAAAAAAATATTATTTTTAAATAATAATAATAATAATAATTTTGGTTATAGTTTATTGCAATATTACTTATATCTAATAATAATAATAATATTTCACATAATAATTATATAATATTAATATATTATACTAATGTTTAGTAATTTTTTAGATTTTGTTGATTATCGTAAATGTTAAAAGTTTTTTGATATTTTTTTATTAAAAAATTGTTTTAATATTTCTGGGGATCTATATATTTAAAAACAAATTGCAATATAAATCTATCTGTAATTTAATAATATTTTTTTATGTGTGTGTGTTTGCAATTGATTTGCAATAAAAAAAACTACTAAAGTATTAACTATGATATATATATATATATATATATATATATATATAACTAATAGTAATAATAATACAACAACAAAATAGTTATAATAAAATTATTTATTATACTTTTAGTTATTTAGTAAAATAGTTGTTTAGTTTTTTTTAAATATAAAAATATATTGTTTTTGTAGTCAAAAAAAACAGACAACAATTACTGTACAATACAATACAGTATTTTACATCCCATTCCCCTCCATAGCTGTCACTGGCATTGAAAAATTGTGTAAAAATAATGATAATTATATATATTTTGTTAATTTATAGCAACTGTTTTGAAAACTATGGATAATTTTATTTCACACATATATTATCATAAATTTAATACATAGTAATATACTGCTATATATATAAATGTTTTACAAATTTTAAAACTAGGTTTTGAAATTTTTTTTGATAAACTTTATTGTTTCTAAATCCATCATAAATTAATTAATTATTATTATTATTTAACTAATTAATTAACATTTTTAGGTATCATTTTAAATATCTATTTTGCATATATTCACACATATGTATAATTTAAAAAAAATATATTTTAATGAAATTTATAATTAAAAAATACTATTTATATTTAGTATTTATTTTTTTTAAAAACCCGTTATTTTTACCGCTTATTATTATTTTTTTCAATGATCTCTAATATAATATTCTGCATAGCATTAGTACTATTGTATATGAATACAAAAAAAAATCATTTAGTATTTAATTTTGTTCTCTCTATAGATTTCTATGACTATTTGATGTATGTTTAACTAACTGTAGAGAGAGAGAGAGAGAGAGAGACTGAAACTACAGATATATTAAAAAAACTAACTAAACTTTAAGGTATCGATCGATATATATATACTACAACTCCCGTTCCCCTCACTATCTCTCTCTCTCTCTCTCTCTCTCTCTCTCTCTCTCTCTCTCTCTCTCTCTCTCTCTCTCTCTCTCTCTCTCTCTCTCTCTCTCTCTYTCTCTCTACTTAGACAGACATTCAACTTTTAACTGTAACTAACTTTACATACAGTTTATATACAGTAGTAGTAGTAGTAGTATATCTAATCTTAAATTGCATCCCTTAACCATCACTACCACTACTACTCCATTCAATAGACACAATGTCATGTCATGTCATAACCTTTAGTTTGTTTTTTTTATGCTAACTTTCCTTTATATTAGTATATATTGTTTATTAAAAAACTTATGGTAATATTATCGATATTCTAGTAAATTAAATATTAGATTTATTTAAAAAAATAAATATTTCCTAATATATACTTATAATTGTCTGTATATTTGAGAGAAAAAAAGTTTGTTTGTTTTTTATGGTTTATTAAATGTCTTAAAAAATGATAATATTAGTAGTTTTTTGTTGTTGTTGTCGCTATTTCTATGATATTAGCGATAATTAATTAATGGTAAATATATTTACAGTATATTTATATATATAATAAACAAAAAAAATTTATTAATACCTAAAGTTAGTATTTTTCATATATTGAGAAACTATTTTTTATGATGTTTTATATTTTTTATGATTACCGGTAGTTATGTTACATCGACTTATGTATGTGTGTGTGTTGATGGACTACCTGTGCTTTTATATACCCAACAACAACAGCAACAAAAAATTTACTAAATCTGTATTTAATTAAATTATCCATACATTAGAAACATTTTGATAGAGAAAAAAATAAAATAAAAAAACAGTTTCTACTATATTAACCTTAATTTATCTATGTCTTATTAAATTATAATATATTTAGTTACTAGTGTACAGTACAATTATTATATATATATTATAAACTATTTCAAGCTAGGTTAATGCACTTTATTATTATTATTAATAAAAAATGTCTACATAATTTTGTTTTAAAAAAATAGTAATATGATAATACATAAAATTTTGATTTTTGTTGTTTATATTGATTTTAATTTTATTTCTAAAAATCTAAAAAGTATTTATTATTTATTTGATAATTTTATTTTTTTTAATAAAAAAAATATATTGCAAATATTATTTATTTTATTTCAATAGAAAGAGAGAGAGAGAGAGGATTATTGTCCAGAATTTTAATACAGAATTTTTTATTTTATTTATGATTTATATATTTATTTTTGTTTCAAAAGTTATTATTATTTAATGTAATTTTCTATTTGTTTGTATGTATGTATGTATGTGTTAGTTGTTTGTAAATTGTTTGATAAAATAAAACAACAAAAAAAACGTCTCTAAATCTCTAAACACTAAATCTATAATATATTATAATCTTTATCCACAAAACCGATTTCCTCCCTTTCCCACCTAATCTATTAAATTATATATATATATATATAATCCATTGTCATCACTAAACACACGGTATATCGACACATCATTATATATATRKRTWWTGTGTTTAGGTGTCTATATATATATATATATATATATATGAGACAATTATTACAACAATACCTTATTTAAAAAAAAAATTACTGTAAATTATATAACAGCCATTGAAAAATAATATATAAACTTTGCGTTAACTTTTTTTTAATATAAAATATGTTTATAACTATTTTGTAGACCATTTTTTCTGTGTGTGTGTGTATGTGTTTAGTCTTAACTTTAGCTCTTGAGTGATGCGCTTATGTATTACATAAACTATGGATGGATGCTATCAGTGCTCTCTCTCTCTCTCTTTCTCTCTCTCTCTCTCTCTCTCTCTCTCATAATATAATAGTTTGTATGCTCACTGACATACCAGAGTCCTCCATATCTTTAAAAAATAAAGTAAACTTCAATCGATTTTTTCCATATATAATGAATGTATATATACTGTTTAGGAATATAAGTCTATATATATATATATATATATATATAGTTTTTTGTGTGTGAATTTATTATATATATATATTATATTTTTMTATATATATATATATATGAATTTAATATGTATTGTAGTTATTGTGTGATTTTGGTGTTAGAAAGTAATGTTTGAACTCTCATATAGTGATAGATAGAGAGAGAGAGAGATTCTGGCGATTCTGTGATTTTATATGTGATAAGACATCAATTTTGTTGAGTGTATGTGCTATGTATGTGTGTGTGTGTGTGTGTGACTGTGTTTAAGGTACTGTAGGTATGAGCTAACAGTTTTTGCGCACAAATGTTAAGTATTTAGAAAAWTAACAGTAAAATTACAGTACTGTCTCTGTACTACAAGTTTATGTATTAGGTTATGGTTATGGTTTGGTAGTAATGGTTGTTGTTGTTGTTGGTTAGCAATAAAACTATAGTTTATTGTTGTTGTTATTGTTGTATATACCTATATATATATGCCCAGTAATGTCCTGAAAAATATTTTTTGTAACTTTAAATCCCTATTACCTCCTACTCTGAATTTAACTGTTTGTTTTGAATAATGAAAATAAAAACACTTTTATATATATATTATTATTATTATTAATGGCATAATATTTTTTTTGTTTTAGTAGTGTTTTTATGAAAAATTTTATTTTATTTAAATAATAATAAAAAAAAATATTATTGAAGTACTAGTAGTGTGTTTGACTCCATTATTCAATTTAAATACTTATTAAACATTTATATATAAAAAATATAAAAAAATGTATTCAAAGAAAATAAAATTCAAATCTGCTTTTCTTTTTAATTTTTTTTAGTTATATATATAAACACTTTTTTAAGGTTTTGTTTTGTCAGTTATTTCGCCTAATATAACAAAATTTTAATAATCTCTAAATACAAAATGCTTTTCTTGTATTTATATATATTTTTTTTGTACTAAAAATGAAAAATAAAAAAGTTTTTATTGATTTTCTACTTTTTCTATGGAATTATATATATATTTTATATATATTTTTAAATAAACACTAATTTCTCAAAAAAATATATAAATTTGAATTTAAATTATGACTTCAACATTAAAAWAATAACAAAATAAATCAAACAATTTTTTGCTAAAATGTAATTTACTTAATATACTTATTATTGATTTTATTTTGCTTTAAACTATTATTTTTTAATTAAATGTTTGCAAAATAAAAAGTTTTGTTTGCAATATTTTTTTTATTAGGAAAGAGAGAGAGAGAGAGARACTTATAAACATTTTATTGATTTTATTAGTGATATAAACTAAACAAAACAAAACAAAAAAAACTTATTGAAAGTGTTTTGTAAGTGACAAATGAAACAAATACTGTGTTATAAGACTCATATAAAATAGTGTAAAATATATTAGTTTTTTAAAAAGATTTTTTTTAACTTTCATGTATACTTAAAATTAAAAATAAAAAGTTAACTATAAGTTTTTTATTTAATGCTAAACACACATACATACATACATAAATACACACACACACACACACACACATATATATATAACACACACATACATACACATACACACACATACATACACATACATACAGTACTACATATACACTGTTGTCAATTGTGTTGTTAAGTGTATTCAAACTCTTTTTTTTCTCTCACTAATCAAATGTCAATTAAATTATTCATTAAAATGCAATTTATTTTTTGCCATTTAATTTGTTTAGTGTGTATTTATTATTTAAATTTAAATGTAACTTTTGTTGTTGTTGTTGTTATCCTCTCTATTGAAATGGAAATTTTAATTAATAAGTTTTTATAAATAGTTTTTTGTGTGTATGTGTCTATAGTATTCAACAACAAAAAGCAAAACAAAAAAAATTATTTTTTATGACTAATGATAGTTACTAAATAAAATACTTTAATATTTTTCTGATCAATTAATTTAACTAATGATTTATTGACTTTTATATATATATATATATAGATTTGTTTTAATCAATGTTTGTGTGTCTGACTGTGTGTGTGTGTGTGTGTGGCTGTCATTGTGGTAACTATTCAATTAATGAGATGATATGTGTTTGTAATATATATTTAGTTTTTATTTTCACTGTAAATATACGGCCAATGAATACACGGAAAGTCATCATATAAAACACACACACATACACATAGCATATATACAGTATATATATAAAAAATAAGTTTATTTAATACAATATTGACATAAAACTCAATAAAATATATCATATATCATATAATCGGATCTATTATTTTCACTTCCACTGAGTAGTAGTAGTAGTAGTAATATTAGACCAACTGATTAGTTCAACTATTTTGTTAACTCTCTCTCTCTCTCTCTCTCTCTCTCTCTCTCTCTCTCTCTCTCTCTCTCTCTCTCTCTCTCTCTCTCTCTCTCTCTCTCTCTCTCTGACTATGTGTGTGTGTCCTATATTTTTTTATATGACATAAAATTATCACAACTGGCCATCACTACACTAGCATAGATAATTGTATGATGTTTTTTTWWWAAAAWATAAATAAATATTTTTATATAACAGTATAGTTATTACTATTATTATTTATATATGAAAATAGTGTCATAAAAAAGCAATAAATAAATTGTTTGTTAAGCATTTAAAGTTATCGATTGTAACAAACAATAATAGATGAATATATTATTATTATTATTATTGATTTATTAAAATTAAATAGATTTTTCTCTATATTATAAATATAAGTTATGTTTTTTCATTCAACAAATAATTATTATTATGTTTTTAATTACATCAATATTTATCAAAATATATTTTTTAAACAGTATTTAAATATTATTTAATTATTCAGTTTTTAATATATGAATAATATATTTCATAATATTGAAAATAATTTTTAATAATAATAAAATAAATTATCTGTATTAAATGTTTTCATTGATTTATATAATATTATATTTACATAAATAAAATAATATTTATATATTAATAAACAACAAAAAAAAGTTAAATGGATATTAAATTACATCATTATAATATAAAAATATTTTATGATATTTAAAACTTAATATTTAATTGATAATAATAATAATAATAATATTGCAATTTGATAAATTAATGTAAATATTTATATATACTTATACTGAGAGTATTTAAAACAGTATTATTTACTTATAAATAGATAATAATAATAAGAATATCTTAAAATTTTCTAAAAAAACATAGTTTTAAAAAATTTTATTAAATTTTTTTTTACATTTTTTCAATTAATTACTAAAATTTAAAAATATAAATATATATATATATATACTCTATTAGAATCCGATTTTACAAAAAGAGTTACACGAATTGCAGACAACTATCAAAACGTTATCTGAGGAACAGGTAATTAAATTTTTAGTTTTTTTTTTATTTTAATAAAAAAAATTTGAAAAATTGAAATAAAAATTTAATTGTCTATTTTTCATTAACCCCCCCCCCTCCCCACCCCAACAACAACAAATTTATTTATATTACTTACTTTATCATGAAATCATGGATTTTTTTTTGTAATTATTAATTTGTTAAAATATTATTAAAATTAATATTTTTTTTTAAAAATTATAATTAATTTAACGTAATTTATTGTTGAGCATATAAATTGTTGACTAGATGAATCGATAGTTTTTATTGTATTATTAAAAATATTTTAATACAGTTTTTATTTTTAATAATTTTTATCTACATTTACATTATACTAATGTGTTTGTATTGTATATTATTATTACGTTATTAATAATATTATAAGTTTTAGTTAATGTATTGTTTATTATTAGTTATTATTATGTTTAAAATGCCTGCATTTTATTAAGTAATTTATTTATTTATTTAATTTAAATTTTTATTTTAGTTAAATTTAGTTCATATTTAATAAAAACTTTTATTATTATTATTATTTGATTAGACATTTAAATAGTAAACTTTATAAGTAATAAATTATTACTAAATATAATAATACTATTTAAACATTTTAGTAAAGTTATGACTCATTTAGCAGTGATTGACACTTAAAAGTTAATAACTTTTAATTATTAATAATTTTATTATTATTTACTTATATTTTTTTTTTGATTGCCATTTGTTTTATTTTATATTAAAAAAAATTAATTTCAGTTTAAAAAAAAACTTAAACTTAATTTAGGAAACTTTTTWTGTAAAAAAACTTTTTTATTTTTAAAACTTTATTTAAACTAATTTTTTATTAATATTTATTTCACTTTAAATACTTTAAAGAAAAACAAAATCCAATCATTGAAACAACAGATTGTATTCAAGGAAAAGACAGCCAAAGAGCACCACAACAACAACCTATTGGTGGACACACTTATCACGTCGTCTACCGTCGGCGGCAGCGGTAATAACAACAGCGGCGTCGGCACCGGTGTATTAGTATCGAGCAATAACTGTAACAAAGATACGCAAAACAAGTCTTCACCAGCGGTAGGCTCGGCGGCATCAGCTGTGGCCACAACAGCAGCGACAACAGCGGTAACGACTACGGCGGCGGCGGCGGCGCCAGTGATCGCCACAAATAGACCGGCACTAATAATACCAAAGTTGACAACCAGTGGCCATAGAGTTATCGGCAACGTCCAGACTAGTGGTGGTATTGGCGGTCATCATCATAATCATCAAGCGTTTACAAGTAATAAGCGGCCGGCACTGGCCATCAAGTCGATTACTGGTCAGACACAATTTTTGGTACCCGTGGCCAACAGTGGCGGCAAAAACAAGTTGGTTGTTGTACCGAAACAAAAAGTATTGAACTATTTGAAACCAGTTGGCGGCGGAGGCGGGCAAACCACCACCACCAACAAACCGATGCCCATATTGACCAACAATACTAATAATACAACTACGACAACGACGACCAGTTCATCGTCGGCGGCATCGCTGGTGACCAAAACCATTTCATCAGCCAATCATAACAATAATAATAATAATACACTCGTGTCGACGATCAACACGAGAGGCGCCGCACTAGCGTTGAAATCGGCAGCGATGGCAGCCAAACACTCATCGTCGTCGACCTCACTGTTGATGCGATCAAAGATCGGCGGCAATGTTAGCGTAAAAAATACGTCTCCCGTGACTACTACAGCTGCTTCAGTAGTAGTCAGACCAGCGGTACCCAAACTGACCGAAAAGCAGTCAAAAGATCATTTTATGTCGTGTTTAGGTTTGTATTGTTTTAGTCGGCGATATTTTTTTGTGGGACACTTCTTATTGTTTACGGTAATGACTAATATGTTTGTTTGTTGTTGTCTTATCTTCTCGTCATTAGGTTTGGTCACCAAAGAGACACTAACAGAGCTGCAGAGCCGCAAATGTGAACGAAAACGCCGAACAACAGCCAATCCGCAGTTTTCGTCGGCCGCTTTGGAGGCCAAACGTATTACAAAACTTGAATTAGCCGAACGTAAGGCCAAACGGCGGCTAATGATTAACAATTCGTATAATATTGCGGCCAATAATCCTGGTCCCGGGCGYCCGCCCAACAATCCGCTGTCATCTATCAATAATAATAATAAGTCATCGGTGGCGGCGGCGGCCGCGGCCAACCACAACATATCAAAGCCAAACAACAATAGCATTACATCGCAAAACACGGCTCCGGTAGTCAATGGCGGCGGCGGTGGTAATCAAAACAAGTCAAACAACAACAATAACGCCAGTTATCTGAATAGTAGCGCTAATCCCAAGTCAATCGGCGTCGAACAACAAGAGTTGGCACCCGGTATGTTGTATACACCTGTTCCCATCATTAGCTACCTGTTCATCATAGCTACTGTGTTGCTTATCTGACTTTACTTTACTTATCCCCCGTAGGTCTCTATATTGTTACCTCAATCGGCAAACATTTGTCGGCCAATTGTCACATTTGCGAGGAACTGTGCGAATGCGATATCGATAGCATCTTGTTTTGTAAGCCATGTAAAACATTGTTTCACGCCATGTGTACGACAACAGTGGACGACCTAAAAAATCGACAGGCCCTACCCAAATGTCCTAAATGTGATGCCCAGAGACGGCTAGTCGGCGAACAGTTGGCCAAAAAACGTCGAGAACGCGACTGTTTGGTTAAGAAAAAACAGGAATTTGACGATCAGTTACAACAGATGAGGAAAGCCCTACAAACTCTCAAATTGAAGATCAAAGTAAGCGATTGATTGTCTGATTTGTTTATTATTATTATGGCCACCGATTATGACCTATGTTTCTGATGTATTGTTTTTCAATGAACTAATCCTAAAACTAATTGTTTGTTATGTCTATTATTATTATTATTAGGAGAAAAACGATGAAAAGCTAACACTAGTCGGCCGTCACGAGATTGTCCAGAAGCGGGTCGACAAGATTATCGAAACACTGAAGATTGTCGAAGACACCGGTGAATGGGACGAGGAGGACAACGAAAATCTACAGCCGCCAACACTGGTAGCAGTGACGGCGGAAACGGCTATAGTCGATGGCGACAACAACACCAACAACGACAACATTGGCCAGACAATAAGCGGCGGTCAAGTGTCAAACAATAACAACAATGATGATCAACAGTCGTCACGAAACGCACAATTAGTAGTATTTACGGGACTATCGTCGCCGCCGCCACCGACGCTCGAGTTGCATACGATGGACAACAATAGCAAACTCGATGATGTCGACGATGCAGCCGCTGATGAGGATGAAGATGAGGCCATGGATGTTGAGGAGACCAGTCGGGCGATCGAACAGTTGGAAAAGATTAATAGAGGAGAACTAGAAGATAACAACAACAACAACAACGCCGATACCTATGAGATTGATTTGCGATGCGATGAACGACCAGAACTGGTGTCGTTGAGTATGGACGACGACGACGCCATTGATCACCACAACCATCATCATCATCTCAACCATCACCTCAATCATCATCATCATCATCACAGACCATCGGGTATCGGTAGTAAAGGCCATCATCAGCTGTACGAACAACTGGACAACAATAGTCACGAAAGTAATAGTTGCGCCGATATGTACGATATGTACGTCGAAGAGGTTGTACGGGGAAATCGGTCGTCGAGGTCGTCCTCAAGCGATGCCATTGGCGGCAGTGGCGGCGGTAGCGGTATTGAGGCAATGGACGCCGAAAATGTGGCCTTTTTTGATACCGATTTGCATGTCACGGCCGCTGCCAATGATAGTACCAGTGCTGCTGTTGCTGGTAGTGATGGTACCGGAGCTGCTGTTATCGCTACCATGAAATCGGTAGTAAAATCTGAACTAAACAGCAATAGTCATAATAATAATAATAATAGTGTTATTGAAGAACATAATAATAATAAGGTTATGATATATTAGCCGAAAAAAAATTAATTAATTAATTAATTAGTTTAAATAAATTAATTTAATTTATATTATAATTTAAATAATAATTAACAAATTATTATATATATAGAGAGATAAATTTTTTTATAATACAATAATTATTGATTGGTTAATAATATTGATAAAAAAATTAAGTGATGAATTTATTAATAACAATTGAATTTAATTATACGGTAATGAATACCACAAAATAAATTATAAAATGTAAATTTTTTTTTAATCAATTAATTAATTTATAATTACAATTAGCTAATTTAAATGTAAAAAAATTAAATTTCCAATTACTATACATAAACATTACAAACACACACAATACTGTACACATAACTTATTAATACATACAGTAGACATACATTAATATTATTAATATTATTGTCATAAATGTTAATTACCTTAATTTAATTATTATTTAATAGTATAATTTATAAATAATTTATTATATGAAGTTTAAAATTGATTTTTTTTGTTTTGTTTATTTTTTTTATTATAATTATTTTGTTGTTATTATTATTATTTGATTTTTATTTTTTCAAAAAAAAAAATTATTAATAATAATAAAATTATTGTCATTCATAATTAATTAATTATTATAATTATCATCACATCAACCATCATTGTTTTTTTTGTTGATGATAATAGTAAATTGTATATTATATTATTATAACTTAGTTAATATGTGTGTGTGTTTTTTTTAATTGATATTATTATATTTATAATTTATTATTATTATTATACAATATATATAAATATTTATTATTAATAAATAATTTTTTTAATATCTATTTATTTGATGAATTTTTAAATTAAATTAATTATCAATTTATATATATATATGTATGTAATTATAATTATTTCTTTAATTTGTAATTTGTACAATATAATTAAATAAATAAAAAACATTGATAAGTATTGATAAATAAATTTAAAAAATTTTAAAATAATTTTTATGAATTCATTGGAATTATTGTTATTTTTTTTTTAATATATAAAATTTAAGTTTATGTACACATATTATAAAAATCGTAGAAAATAATGTTTTCATTAATTAATTTTTTTTTTTAAAATTAGTGGTTATTAAACTTAAATTTTATATATTAAAAAAAATAACAATAATTCCAATGAATTCATAAATATTATTTTAAATTTAATTAAATTTAAGTTAATTTTAAATTTCCGCGAAATACTTTATTGCATTTAATATTATTATTATTTTTTTTTGTGTTTTTATATGTATGGTATATATATGTTAATAAATAGCAATATATTTTATTTGCATAGTTTGTAAAAATAAATATTTTTAAAAATTAAATCTATTTAAATATTGAATGTATATGTTTTTGTTAATTTTTGTTAATATAAAATCGATATAATGTATATTTTTAAATAATTTATTATTATTTTTGTTTTTGCTAAATATAGCAAAATTATTTTATTGCTTAATATTATTAGATTTTATTTTTTTTTTTGCTAAACTATTTTAGATGGTCTAAATTAAATAGTGTTTTACTATTTTATAATATATTTAATATAAAATATATAATACAGTAATATAAATTTATATATACTGTACAGTATTTTATAAAATATTATATTTAAAATAAATATTTTTGAAAATAAAATAAAACTAAATTTTAAAACTTTATTAAGCTAATAAATGTATGTGCATAAAATTTGTTAAATTATATTAAAACTAAAAAGTTTTTATTTTATTTTTAATAATCCAATACTGGTATACTTATATATATACAGTACTTACAGTATATAATTTTTTTAGATAAACTGTAAATTTCTAACTTTTATAATTAATTGTAAACTTATATAATATAAATTACAATTAAATTAATTGAGTTTAAACTGATTAACTAACATTTAGACACTAAAACATCAACAACAATAAAAAAATATTACAAAATTATAAAACTTTATTAATAAATAAAAATTCATAGTAATTGAATGTATTTGTATTTAGCTAATAGACAAAAATAAATGATTAATTTTAATAATTTATTATAATGACAAACAATTTTTATTTTTATTTTTAATTAAAAGTTTATGAATTGTATAATTTTATCAAAACTCATATAATAATAATTATAAACAATGTATATAAAAATCAGAGACAATAGTAGTTATAGATTTTTTTAATAGTATTTAGTTTTAATTCAATAAAATCATTTAACTATTGAATATTATTATAATAATATACTTAATAAATATAATAACATTTATAATAATAATAATGTCGAAAAATCTACAATTGTACTATTAATTGTATTTACGATGCAATTTTCAGTAAGATATCAAGGTAATAGAAAAATTAATTTAAATAAATAAATATTTTTAAAAAAAATTTAATTATTAAATTAATTCATAAGTACCCCCACCTAAACCAAACAAAATAATTGCGCAACCCTGATAATATATAATGTATATATGTATATTATATTTTCATTACTATACTAATACTATTTAAAACTATAATAATATTAAAAACAAAAACTAATTATTAATTGTATGCTTTTTTAAATTTTTTATTATTATTAAAAATAACATATATACAAACACACACACACACACACRCACACACACACACACACACACACACACACACACACACACACACACACACACACACACACACACACACACACACACACACACACACACACACACACACGCATACACACACACACACACACACACACACACACACATACAAACTAATATTGTTTTTTATATTGTTTTTTTCGTATTATTATTATCTAATTTTTGTTTAATAAAAATATTTTTATATGCATTACATGAGTTTTGATAGATTGATTGATTTTAATTATTTTTTTAAATAAAAAATTATATTTATATAATACTTTGTTTATTGCTATATTGCTTAATAACTAAATAATAATTATAAAACTATACTAGACTATAATATTAATTACATTTAATAATAAAGATATATTAAAATAAATATATATTAAAAGTATTTAAAAAAAATAATAATTAATACTAAAGTCATTTAGTACTTATAAATACATATAATTATAAATAAATAATATATTATTTAAATAAAATGTTTTTTTTAACAAAAACAAATTGTAAGTTATTGTAACAATTTGTAAGTAAATCTATTAGTATAAAATAAATGAAAATAATACATATAGATAATAATTATTTTAAATATAAGATTTATATTTTTATTAATTATATAATAAATATTATTATTATAATAAAAATATTTTCGAGTTTCTTATATCATAAATAATATTTTTTTACAGTATAATAATTGTTTAATAATTTAAATTATTAGATTATTTACATTATTTTTGCCAAACATGTTAGTACTTAAAAAAAATAAAGTCTACTAATTTGTAAAATCATTTTCACTAATATTAATAAAATTTATTAAACTATTATAATAACTTTTCTCTAACTTAATTTATTCTAAGCTTATTATTATTATTAGTATTAGTATTATTAGTAATTAAAATTTATTTTGAATTGATTTAACTAATTAATAATTTCAATTAAAATGTATAACTAATATGTATTAAAACATAAAAATATAATAATTAAAAAAAATAATTATACGATTATTAATTTAATAGACAAAAATTTTTTTTCAATAACATTGGAATTTATTGGAATAATTAAATGATTTTTTTCCAAATAGAAAAGTAATTTACACACAAAAATAAATTATTAATCTATTATTAATGATAAAACAAATTTTTTTCGATATGATTAAAAAAAATCATGATTTGTATAATTTCTAAAAAAATATATAAAACATACAATTAGGGTTCAATCAATATTTCCATAAAGGGAAGTTCCCACCCCCTACAAAAAAAATCATTTTAATTTTTCGGAATATATATATATATATATATATATATATATATTTGTTCCCTTCATCGTTAGAAAATATATTATATTATTATAATAAATAGTACCCAAAAATATATATTTTGCAACAACAACATCAAAATTTTTAAAATATTTAAAAATAATCAACTAATAAATTTTATGAGACTTATGAAGTTTAATACACTATTTATTTTTTTAATTTATAATAAAATATGTTGATTATAGTTTAATAAAGTGATTAGTAGAAATTTTCTAGGAATTTACAAATTAAATAAGAAACTTTTGGAAAATAAAATGTTGGAGTAAATCTGATATACCCCCACCACTAAGTTACTACAATATAGCCAAATATATATTAGGATAAAAAGTATAAATATAAAGTAGTTTATTACATTGAATTGTATTAGTATTAGTATATTTAATTGTATTAGTATTAGTATATTTAATTGTATTATAGATTTATTTATTTATTTTTTAAAAAAGTAACATTTAACAATATCATTTTAGTTTAGATATTAAATCAATTGTGTTTGAAAAATAAAAAAATAAATTTGTTTTTGAAATAAATAATTTGTAATAAATAATAATAATGTCGAAAACTCGATTAACAACTATTGTATTATTAATTGTATTTACGATGCAATTTTCATCGAGCTATCAAGGTAATATTTTAATTTTAAAAATTATATTTTTCCAAAAAAAAACTTTATAAATGCTATAATTAATTAATTAATTAATAATTTATTTTTAAAGAAATAAAAATATATTAAATTATTTCTATAGATATATTATTCAAATATATAAAAATATTTATACAATTATTATAATAATAACAAAAACAATTGATACAATGTTTTTTTAAAATTAAAATTATTATTATTACACACACATACACAAACACACACACACACACACACACACACACACACACACACACACATACACACACACACACACACACACACACACACACACACACACACACACACACACACACACACACACACACACACACACACACACACACACATACACACACACACACACACACACATACACACACATACACACATACACACACATACACACATATACACACACATACACACACATACACACATATACTTACATACACACACAGACACAC